TTTTACCAGTAAGAGGATCAACGAAACATGCCAAATTTACTCTTTAATTGCTCAATAGAAGATAAAATATAGCCTTGGTAGCTTTGTTTTCCTTTAGGCAGAATTCATATAAAGAACCTTGCATACATTATCTATGCCTAATTTGGCTCATAGTGGCCAAGCAGTTTAAGAAAAGAGGTTGAAAATCAGATAGCCTTTCATTTTGAATGGTGAATATGTATTTCTGTCACAAAGCTTGGCTCTTGGTAGACAGTTGTTTGTAGAGAGTCTTCTAGTTTTCAATGCAATTATGTTTCAAAACATTTGGTAAATATAATTTTAGAGAACTGGTCAATCATAAAGGAATACTGCATTTATGTCTCTGTTTTCTCCTCATCAAAACAGAATCAAATGAGTTTATTAGAGGAGCTTTCAAACAAGTCTTTGACAGCTTCTTTATTAGCCAAGCAGTTTTTGCTATGAGATTCACAACGGATTTTGATGGATTACTCCTTCTTATTGCCTTAGGATACAAGATACATAAGATAAAAATGTCTCAGTTAAATATATGAGGTGTTCAGATAATAGCTCACTGTTTGGGGTTTTTAACAGGATAACCATATTTTCATTACTGCAAACATAGGTTGTGCCCTGTCATAATTTTTGTTTGTTTTCTGTTGTAATTTGAGCTATGTATGGATTATCTATTTAAACATGTTTCACATATTTTAAACCCATGGCCTAAGATAAAGCTTACTACATAGTATAGGTTTTGCTCATTGTTGAAGGCTATACAGTTCCCTGTAATTGTTCACATCTTTGCACTTTGGTTTTTAATTGATATTCGTGGCATTGGCAAGCAATCCACTTCTCCTTATTTTAACATATTGTTATAGCTGAATGTATCAATCAAACTTGATAAAGCAAATTCTGATGAAGAAAACAAAACAAAAGGCCATACATTGGTTCTCTTTTTAACTGTAAAAATATGATAACCTCATTATAACAATTGCATATTGATTAAAATAAACATAATTTGACATTTAAACATGACTGAGAAACATACTATAAAAAGAAGATGAGGTATGATTTCCAACGAGACAACTCTCAACAAGTGACCAAATGACACAGAAATTGACAACTATAGGTCACCGTACGGCCTTCAACAATGAGCAAAGCCCATACCGCATAGTCAGCTATAAAAGGCCCAGAAATGACAAATCTAAAACAATTCAAACGAGAAAACTAAGTAAACGGCCTAATTTATGTATAAAATAATGAATGAAAAACAAATATGTTACACAGCAACAAATAAGCATAATTTATGGAACGCTACAGCTGTCTTATGTGGAACTCTGATATTACTTTATGTTGTTTTATTATTACTTGATGATATTTTGTCTTTACTTAATATGGTTTTGACATTACGTAATGATGTTTTGATATAACTCAATATGGAATAGTCATTACTTAATGATATTTCGATATTACACGATATGATTTCGTATTGACTTGATATAGTTTTGTCATTACTCAATATGGTTTTGTCATTACTCGATGTGGTTTCACCATTATTTAATGTGGTTGTGTCATTAGTCAATGTGGTTTTAACATTACTTGATGTGAATGAGACTTAACGTTATGTAGTTGTTTCATTACATGATGTGATTTTGTTATTTCGTAATGATGATTTGCCTATTCTTTATATGGTTTTAACATTACGCAATGATGTTTCAAAATTTGACGATTTTACACTACATGATGTGTTTGTTTCATTATTTGATGTGGTCCTGTCATTCTTTGATGTGGTTATCCCATTACTTGATAAGGTAAAACCACGTGACCAATTCGGAAAAAAATATGTTCTATTTTTAAACAGATTTCAATATATCGTTTGTTTAATGTGCTTTGGATGGGTATCGCTATCCATTGAGTTAAAGTTCAAATTAAAGTTCCAGTGGTTGTTCAGAGTTATTTGGTATGAAAAAGGGGAACGGCAGACAATAATAAGAAAAAAAGTATTAAAAAGTTCACAGTATTTCGGACATAATTGGGATATCCCCAAACCACTTGGTCCTGTTGTTTTTATCCTAAGTTCTCAAACGGAAGCAGTATTTTTGTAATAAATTTGTAAAATATTCCATGGAACCCTGTGTCTCGCCTGATATTGCTGCTGTAAGTGTAAAAGCGTCATGTTGATCGGCTGTACATTTATCTATACATTTATCGGTAAAAAAAAATTTTTAAAAAATGTTTTTCTGTAGATGCTTTTTCTTGAAATTGAGGAATAACTCCTATACAAGTTTAAAACACTTCATGGAGGTTTACAAATTTTTCATGTCAAAACAGTTTATTTCGGTTTTATTTAACTAAAACAAAACTGTATGGTTTTCAACAATGAGCAAAACCCATACCCTATAGTAAGCTATAAAAGGTCCCGAAATGAAAAATGTATAAACTAGAAACCTAACGATCTAGAGATAGATAGATAGATACTTTATTCTCTAAAAACTAAATACAAGTTTACAGAGAAACATACAATATAAATACAGATACAATAGTCGAGGTAAACAAATCCAGTATGATATCCTAAAAGTAATATACATGGCATACATGTTTAGTAACATGTATAATGAAAGGTTAAACTCAATAGAAATTTAAAAAATGGAGATGGAGACGCCGACGCCGACGCTATTATCGACGACGAAATATAGGTTTGTTGTGTCTCACTGCCGCTACATTGATGTCGCAGGCTCGACACAAATCAAAAGACTTGAACTTTATCGTTAACAAATGAAACACTTCAAATCAACTCACACTAAAGTTACAGGGAAACGGGGGGAGGGGGCTCGGACTAAGCGACAAAGCATCAATACTATAAAATAAGAATTCTCCGAATTTTTTTAGCGTAAATGATCATTTGAACTTATACGAATATCAATCTTTTATTTGTAATCAATTGAATTCCCTGATCTACCTCGCACTAATTGAAAAATAAACTTTTTGGAATATCTGTTTCATATGTGACGACGGACATGTTCCAGTGGTCGTAACCATAAAACCGTCATCTTTTCCTTGAATGTAAACTACCAAATAAAACCAAATCACTGGGTTTGTACTTTTTCGAATAACACGACGGGTGCCTTTCTGGAGCATCCGAGATAACCCCGATGGATTTATATTACCCAGTCATACCGATCTATTGAAACAGCCGCGGCAAATTTGTATGCCACCGCAACTGAAAGTTGGGGGGGGGGGGGTATTGTTTTACCCCTGTCCGTCCGTCCGTCCGTCCGTCTGTCCGTCCCATTATGGGTAAAAAGTTATTCCGCATAACTCCTCCTACAGTTTGAATCCTAGGAAGTTTTCTCTTTACTGTCTGTTTGTACATATATTGAAGGTGTGCATGTGGCCAGGGTTTTTATTTTTATTATCTTTTGCTCTTTTGGGAGATAACTGAACTTTTTTTGTCATTTTTGAGGTTTAAGCGGTTAAATGAATTGAGTGCGGGGACATCACTTTGTCTAGTTTACTTATTTTTCTCGTGTTGTGCTGTTACACAACTGTAACAGTCTGATGTACGGTTAGGATTTAGCGCTCACATACATAAACTCCGCCACGTGCACTTTCTTTATGTACCCGCCCCAAGTCAGGAGCATGAAATTCAATTGTTGTCGTTGTAGCGTGTGTCATTTTTTTTTTTTGTAGATTGTTTATTTATAAATAAGACCGTTTGTTTTTTCGTTTGAATTTTTTCACATGATGCATGGTGGCCTTTTGTAGCTGACTATACGGTGTGTTGAAGGCTGTACGGTTGCCTATATATGATTTCTTACATCCACTGCATTTAAACTCTGGTGGATAGTTGTCTCATTGTCAATCACACCACATCTAACTTTATTTCAACTTCTATGTTGCGTTTTGTATACTGTAACATTGTTTATCTTTTGTACGCATACCCCGGAGCCCTCTTTTCGGAAGCCCGAGCAAAAGTCCTTGTTCCGCGATAGAAAATTTAATTACGAACTCATAAAAGATAGCTCGAATTTCAACTCAAAATCTTAATTTATCTAAATGAGACTTAAATTCGAATCTTACTCAAACTCTACCTCAAAAAGTGACTCAAATTTAATGTTGTAACTAGAACTCTGCCTTTAAATATGACTCAAACTCGAAGTCCAACTCGAAACTCAATGCTAACTAAAACTTTAATTCTAATAATGACTTGAATTCGAAATCGAAGACTAACTCAAAGACTAACTCAAACAGTAACCCGAACTTTAATTTGAACTCTTATTCGATGGATGGCCACACTCATCCAAGGCACATAAAACATGGAAATCTATCTAAAAATAGAAAGGTTTTTCCGAATTGGTCACGTGATTTTACCTCATCAAGTAATGGGATAACCACATCAAAGAATGACAGGACCACATCAAATAATGAAACAAACACATCATGTAGTGTAAAATCGTCAAATTTTGAAACATCATTACGTAATGTTAAAACCATATAAAGAATAGGCAAATCATCATTACAAAATAACAAAACCACATCATGTAATGAAACAACTACATAACGTTAAGTCACATTCACATCAAGTAATGTTAAAACCACATTGACTAATGACACAACCACATTAAATAATGGTGAAACAACATCGAGTAATGACAAAACCATATTGAGTAATGACAAAACTATATCAAGTCAATAAGAAACCATATCTTGTAATATCGAAATATCATTAAGTAATGACTATTCCATATTGAGTTATATCAAAACATCATTACGTAATGTCAAAACCATATTAAGTAAAGACAAAATATCATCAAGTAATAATAAAACAACATAAAGATATATCAGAGTTCCACATAAGACAGCTGTGGCGTTCCATAATAATTAGACACTATCTCTGTAATGTACTGATATTCCAATTTCATAGCGACTAAATTTAATAAGAGCTACAATTCTTTATGCAGGGAGGAACTAAATACAAAACCAAATGGAAAATATAATGATACTTATACCATAAATTAACAGTTTAACATGACTGAGGAACATAAGCATGATTAAACACTCTTTCTGTAAGGTACTGATATTCCCTTGTCATAGGGATTAAATTAAACAGCTGCATTTTTTTATATTCAGGGAGGAAATAAATACCAAACCAAATGGAAAATATAATGATACTTATACCATATATTAACGGTTTAACATGACTGAGGAACATAAGCATGATTAAACACTCTTTCTGTAAGGTACTGATATTCCCTTGGCATAGGGACTAAATTAAACAGCTGCAATTCTTTATATTAAGGGAGGAAATAAATACCAAACCAAATGGAAAATGAAAATGAAAACGATACTTATACTTATACCATATGATTGTATTGTACAAGTAAACTCTTGTTGATATGTCATAAGCTTTTGGTAACAAATCAATCAAAATACAAATATATCAAAAAGAAAATTCCTGAACTAAAATTACATAAATAATTTTCCTGTCAACAACTGCAGGCATCAAATGAACTTAGAACTGGCTTTAACTGTCTACCTTACAGCAAATCATACATCAAACACCTGTAAAATGTACTTCTTCTTATGCAATTTTAATTAGAAAATCAACTTTCAACTACATAAAAATAATAAAGTTGTCATACACATATGTAAAAGACACTTATTTCCTTTGGCCAAAATTAATAAACTGCTTCGCTGAGCGCAGCTGGATACGCCCACAGATGTCCAACCCTGAACAGTTAGGAAAAAAATGGACACAATATTCAAGCTTGATACAGGTCTGAATTTGGATTGTAATTAAATATTTGACATATTATAGGTTTCTGAATAAATGTACCAGTAGTCAAAGAACTTGAAATTGCTTATATGAATTGAATTTATATTCAATTAAAGATTTCTTGCTGTTGTGCAATACACTGTGCTGTTGCGCAATACTTAGTAAATCTGTTGTCAGACTATAAACAAACAATAACTTCTCAATGTTATATCAGAAATTTATAAAAAACTAAAGGGAGGTTATCTTAATAGATATAAATCAGTCATCAAAGTTTAATGAAAACTGTTCTAAGCACTTTAAGGATATTGTCCAAAAACTTGAAAATCAACCCTTTTTTTATGAATAAAATCTTATAACTCGGAAACGTAAAATCTTAAATTTATAAAAATCAAAAGGGAGCTTACAACAATAGATATAAACAATTTACTAAAGTTTCATAAAAAATGCTGAAAGCATTTTTGAGTTATTGTCCGAAAACTGGAAAATCCCCCTTTTTGTAATGAATAAAACCCCATAAATCGGAAACATATAGTCTAAAATTTAAAAAAATCAAAAGGGAGCTCATGTCGATAGAAATAAACAATTCACCAAAGTTTCTTGCAAATTGGTGAAATTGTTTTTGAGTTATTGTCCAAAAACTGGAAATTCCCCCCTATTTTAACGAATAAAACCCCATAACTCGGAAATGTAAAATCTAAAATTTATAAAATTCTTAAGGGAGCTTACATCAATACTGAATAAATAAAATAAATAAAACCCCAAAACTCGGAAAACAGTAAATACGAAATTTATAAAAAATGAAATGGAGCTCACGTCAATAGATATAAACAATTCACCAAAGTTTCATGCATATTGGTTAAAGCATTTTTGAGTTATTGTCCGACATGTTGACGACGGACGGTCAACGGTATACCATAATACATCCCGTAAATGGGCGTATAAAAACATATATTGTTTAAAGTGCCACTGTAGGAAAAAGAAATTCAATAAATGTACTTGTATTTCACCTTCTTAAAACTTTAATGAAAAATTAGAGTGCATATCAAATCAACACTTGTCATCTAACATTTTCAAATAAAGCCATTTATGACAGTTCAAAATTAGCCTACATAATTCTCCACATACACCTATATGGAAGTAAAAATTTAACTTTTTTTCCATTTCAAACATTTTAACTAATTTAACTAAAATTAATTTAAAAATCAAATGTATTAAAATACACAGTCATGACAGTGTTTAATTAAAAAAAAATTTGTAGCTGACAATGGATGATGATTGTGTAGTGACTGCTATATTTCATGCTGTATCTTTAACCTCTCAAATTTTCCATTTGACCTTTTTTGCAATAGTGTGTATTTAAAATATTAGTAATATATGATAAAAAAGATTGTATTGTTTAGCCTTTAGATGAAAGGCTTTTCTACTCCATGATAACATCTTACACAAATTTTTTTAATTGTATATCACTAAAAACTTAGATGTATAATTTATAAAGGTAAACAAAGGCTAAAATGTAAGCAAAAGTTATGTACTTAATCTTTTTAAAGAAACTCAAATTAAAAATAATAAGGGAAATAAAATTAATTTGGTTAGATTTGTCCATTGGTTAAATCATCCAGAATATTTTATTTTATTCCAGAAGTCAATGAAACATTTGGAAACAAGTCCTACTACAAAAACACTGACAACATCATCTGACTGAGGAAACCAAAAACAAAAACAATCAAAATATTTATTAAAACAAACAAAGTTTGAAACTGCACTATTCATTTTGAATCATATATTTACACTATAATTATCGTTATTCATGCTCTGTGCTCATAGAAAATTAAATGAATAAAAATAAAAATGAAAACCCCAATATTTATGGTACTCCATCAATATGTCCTATCAAAATTAACTTTAAACTGAATTAAAAACTACAAAATCAGCAAAATAGTACAAAACAACTAATAATAATTACTAATCTGTCTTTTCTTTGACTTCAGATTCTTAAAAACAAATGGTTTTTGATCTACAAAAATCATATGTCAAGAAACAATCAAAACATTACAATTCTGCATTATCAACTAGTGATGTAGATTTCTGTATGAAACAAACATTACAATCCTGCATTATCAACTAGTGATGTAGATTTTTGTATGAAACAAACATTACTGTTTTTAATTTAAGAGATACTTAACATATGATTTTTATATAATATAGGTCATAATAAACTATTGTTTTTCAGATATTTTTAACATGAATGTCTGCTTACAACTTTAATTAACTTTGAAATCTTAGGACATAACAAAAATTCCCTATTATCTTTCATCTGTATGCATAGGTTACTTATTATAGTAAATATTTATATACAAAAAACAAGGTCAGAGGGCAAAAAATTGAGATAACGATTTTCATCTCATGCAGTACACAAGGTTTTTGCAATTTAGATTTTTTTGACTTCATAAAATTTAAAAGTGCAGATTCCCACATAAAAATTTGCATAAATTCTAATCCCCCAACCACCAAAATTAAACGGTTGTCAATTTTTATAATTTTTTATAGAGACATTCAATTTAACTGGTATCTAATCAATCATTGGTTTGTGTACCTCTGTCTTAATATCTTGACTGACAAAAAAATAGGTAGTGCACTAACCTATAATTTCAAAAATAATACACTAGTAAAAACTAATGATAAAATGATAATAGTTAATAATACTCATAGGTATCTTTTAATAAAAGATATACTCTTGATTATATGATAGATCAAAATGAATGACCAATAATCTTCTAATAGACAATTACAGCTTGTTGTAACTAAAGCAGTTCATAAAATGATTAATGCAGCTGCCTTTAAATAGTTTCTCATTATACATTGAAGATAAAACATGGGCAGTTTTAACAACTTATTCCATATCCATATCTGGTTCTTGATAGAGAGGCAAGTCCTTTGGTTTGTAATCTTCATCATCAGCTGTAGAACCATCAGCATTGTCTTGTGAATCATCTGTCTTCTCTTCATCATCAGTATTGTCTTGTGAATCATCTGTCTTTTCATCATCCTCTTCACTCTCATCACTGTCTATGTATGTCCATGGTTGGTAGTTCTGTTGGTTCATCTGCTCCAATAACTCTGCTTCTTCTCTCAGTTTGTAGTACAAATTTATTCTTTTATCCCATCCATATTTCTTCTCACTTTTCTCACTTTCAATCAGAAGATCAATATAATCTTTGTCACTGAGTGGGTTTGGTCTTAGAGCAATGTCATTTAACTTATTAATGTAGCACCTGACCTCATGGACCATTTTCATTACATCTTGGCCAAGAGTTGTAAAAGCTGTTTTCACCTTCCCAAGAACACATTTATGTTTTTGTGCTTCTTTCTGAGCAACTTCATACTTTTTTTTTAGTTCATCATAAGTCTTAATGACTTTCATTGTATAAGTGTCAAATCTGAAGGGATTATTTTTGTGAATAGTCCAGTGACAGTGCATTGGACATATGGTACACTTTTGATCGTCAATTGCAGCACAGTTTTGTTTGTTTTTGTCATCAGGAATGCCACATGGGAAATGACATGTTCTGTTACATGCCATACAGTTAGTGACATAAACTCCAGGGTCAAGGTCAATCTGGTACATATGAACCTCGTCCACTTCATACGTAAAATCTTTCTTTGCCTTTATATCCTCCTTATGCCTCTTTAGAATTTCTTTTTCCTGTTTTATAGTATTGAGTTTATTCATACCATCAGCAATCTGCTGCTGCAACCCTTGAATAGTAGTCTCAAGTCTCTTTCTTAGCTGTAACACTTCTGATGTGAGCAATAAACTTTTAGATTCCACTGTTCTCAACTCATCAAAGAAAATCTTGAAGTTTTCTCGTCCCATTTTCCAGAATAAGTTTCCCATCTCTGCTTCAGCTGGGTTTTCAGGTGATGCATATAATGCTGAATTATTAAACTTATAGGATTTTTGATACGGCACATCAGCCGCCTTCAAAGCTGCCCTAACTGGTGGTTCATTGGCATCTGCAAACGTTATCAGAATAAAAATGTTAGACTTAATATCCTGACCGAAGACAGATAAGATCTGATCAAATATGTACCTCTGTGGTGGAGTTAGTTTACCAAGAGGAGCTTGTGTAACAAAACACACTGCATCTAGACATGTAATCCCTTGACGTCCAGGTGTGGTGAAAAATTCTCTGATCTGATCAACTATTCTCTTGTCACGTACTATACCCCTAGTATCACCAAATCCAGGAGTGTCAATGATGTTTAGGGTATAATCTATGGTACTGCCTTCCATCTTGTTAATTGTATAACATGTGATCCATTCTGTTTGAGATTCAGCCTAAAATAATTCAAAAGATATTCTTATTCAAATATGACATTTAAATATTTTATATAAAACAAACCTGTTTAAAACATTTCAGCACAAAGCCTTTTCCTGAGCAATAAGAAACTTGATAAATGAAATATAGAAAACGAGTCTGACATTGAGGTTTCATAGTCAGAGATCTGAGTCGAGTAACAATTCAAAATATTACTATGGATTGATTCATTTTTATTGACTATTGATCTCTATTCTTGGAGGAGAAAAATCTATTTGCTGAAAAATGGCTTTATAATAGTTCCAAAGCCTAGAAAAATGGGGAAAAAATTCCATAAGCAATTCTATAATAGCAGTTGCACAACTTCAATATAAATGCCATCATTCTGTAAAGTTTCAAGGACATAGGCTGAAAACTGTAGGAAGAGTTGATTACACAAAACAGATACCTACCTGCTGACCACCATCACCATACTATAGTTTTGACACTGAATTAAACAATAATTAATAGATTTGTTTGTTCATTTACTACCAATTTGAGAGTCCCAAAAATCACAAAGATTATTAATTGTCTTCAAATCATTCTTACTTCACTAGCTTTTCTTTTCTTCTCATCATCTGTAAGATCTACCATAGAGAATCTGAACTCATCCTCCCATGATACATCAGTGATGTAATTTATCATTCCATCGACAAGAGTCGTCTTCCCTGATCCTGTGGCCCCTATTACCATAATAGTCTTCTCTCTACCAGGCACATTTTCTGAAGCTGTAAAAGACGAGTACTACTATGCAAGTTTTTTATAGTTTATTCAAAGGATATATATGTCATAAGATGTCCTAGATTTTCTTTTTTTACCAAACAAGTATGAAATGGCTCTATAGATGTTCTTTTGACCTAGTTTTGAAAACATATAGTATATGTCACCTCTTCACAATTTATGACTTAATTTCTTCAGACTATACTTGTGTATTATTTAGGAAATAGTACATTTTCTTATAAGTAATATTCCTAAATATATATATGGTTTACAAATATCCAAACTATTGAAAATTTTATGTTGATAAAATAAAAATACCCTTTATTTTCTGCTAAATGTGGAAAAAGTGCCTGAATAAACAAATATTTTACAGTACCTTGGGGCAAAAATTATTTTCCCTTTTCATTTCTAAAGAATATTCTGTAAATTCATTAATCATTGTAATTGTGTGCATAAATTATTGCCATTGTTGAACAAAATGGACACAAATGTAAGATTATTAATTGCAATTTCTGGAACTGATGCATATAATAATGCTATTGAAATTTAAAATGTAAGTTTTTATTTTTCCAAAAAATATCCTGATGCAATTTCTGCAATAATTTCTGAATTTACAGTGTTCAATGCATTAAAAAGGTCTTAAGTATTCAGGGGTTGTTTAGACTGCAATGTAATTTAATACCTGATCCAAATACACATTTTCTTGTTTTAGCCTGTTCATTGACTGTGTCAACATTTTTAATTAATGGCAGCTTGTAAACAACTGGATGACCTTTTCCTGTCTTTTTAGCCAGTGGAATGAGAGATCTTGCCAAGGAGGATACTGTTGACAATTTGATCGGAAGACAAAATGGTCCCTCTTCCCCATCTTCATTCACAGCACGAACTTTAAATTCATATTTCGTCTCAGCTTTCAAGTCCTTCACTTTAACAGTTCTTTCTGCTCCCTCTGACAAAACAGATATCCACTTTCCTTTCCCCTTCTTACATTCCTTATATTTTATTTCATAATGATCTACAGACTTGACACCTCGTTTTGGACGGTTCCATTTCAATGTAATACTATTTGATGTGGTAGCTACAGATTGTGGTACACTTGGATCAGATGGAACACTATCATTGTCGAACTCTCCATCATCTTTCTGTTCTGGTGTTTTTGTTTCCTTTGGACTTTTAGACTGCAAACCACTGCCTATATTAAATAAAGAATGTAGTAATAAACATGCATCAAGAAGGTAATTTGTTTGTTGTTTGTTGTTTGCACCTTTTTTTAATTTTTCTCAAGGTTTCTGGTATTGTACTCTGGATTGTGAATAACTTCACTTATTGTTGATAAATTATTCTTCTCCCTTTTTATCTAAGGTCAAATTTAAATTATGTCAGTCAAATGTGAAGTTTCTAGTTACCTAATACACCCTCTTAAACTACTAGTAAACTAATTTGTTTTTCATTTCCAATCGATAAATTAACTTTCAGGTCTATTTCAGACCTTTTGAACAGGGTCCATTTTTATCCATTACATCTTTCAGTTTAAAATAGCAACAAAACTACTTCCAATCTAATTTTTAGTTTGATGCCACCTTATTATGACAATATTAAATAGCAGTTGTTAAGTCGTAATGGCCAAACATCTGATCTCACTGCAAAAAACTAAATAAATTGCTACGCCGAGCGCAGCTGGATACGACCGAACAGGTCCAACCCTCAACAGTATGGGCAAAAATGGACACACTAATCGCGCTTGATACAGGTCTGAATTTGGATTGTAATTAAATATTTGACACATAATAGGTTTCTGACACAGAATAACTATAGTCAAAGAACTTAAAATTGGTTATATGATCTGAAATCTAAAATGAGAAAAAATTTTCCCTCCCCTTCACAATTTCTTTTTTACCCCCCCCCCCCCCCCTTTTTTCAAAAAAAAAAAAATTCTTTCCCTCAAGATATGGTCATAATCTCAATTCAAATTTCCAATGGAGTTTGCAACCATAATTACCCATTTAAATACATCATAAAAGAAATGACATACACAATCATGGCTAAAATTAATATTCCTTAATCAGCATTTTAAAATAGTAACTTCTAAAAATAAATTGACAGCTAATCACCTCAAGACAATACAACATTTCTTTAAACATAATTTAAAAGCAGTGTAAGGGAGGTAATCCAAACATAACATTGAACTTTTTTTTAATTGTCCATTAACCAGGAAACCCTTGTTTTTCCCCCTTTTTTGCCCCTAATTCCTAAATGGTTTGAGCCATAACCCCCCCCCCCCCCCCCAAAGCCAATCCGAACCATCCCTTTGTGGTATGGAAACTTGTGGTATAATTTCAGAGAGATCCATACACCATTCCACAAGTTATGGTCTGGAAACTAGAAACATGCCTATTTGGGCCCCTTTTTGGCCCCTAATTCCTAAACTGTTAGGACTATAACCCCTTCACCTTCCTTTTGTGGTTATAAACCTTGTGTTTAAATTTCATAGATATCTATTTACATTTACTAAAGTTATTGTCCGGAAACCAAATGTCTTCGGACGACGCTGACAACGACGACAACTATGATGACGTGATACCAATATACGACCTTTGCGATCGTATAAAAACTACAAAAAAGTCTTAAACTTATTCGAAAGGGAGAGAAACCCTATTTTTAAATGACATTTTATATTGAAATTTTAAAGATATTTAGCAGGGATCATCACAAGTTATGTAATGGTAGTGCTCATCCACTTTCGAATTTTCAGCACAATCCTTTGACTTCCAGCACCACTTCTAATTTTCTCAGCATAAACCTTACAAGTGATAATATGAAATAATTTTGGATAATTCTTAATCTGTATAAATTGTAAATACTATACATTTCTATAATTAATTTATGTTTTTTTTTGGTCTTATAATAAAGATATATATGAATTTAGGAAAATATTACCTGATGGTTGGTCTTCTCTAGAAGATTCCTGTTTGGTCTTGTCTATTTTACTCTTTGGCTTGTCTTTCTTTTCTAAGAGGATAAGTAAACACTTTGTGTGTAACTAATGATATTACAATATAGTAAAGAAATAAAATTAAGAAATAATTCTTTCATGCCATGCTCTATGCTCATTTTACATGGTTAGGCATTATATTTGTCAATATCTTTTATAACAAGTGTTAGCGAGGTGTAAAATCTTGACAAATATAATGCCTACCCATGTTAAAATGAGCATAGAGCATGGCATGATAGAATTATTATGATTCTAATAGGAAAATTTAGAACTTTTGTACTTTGAAGCAGCCTTATAATACACGTTCGAAAGGAAGCCATTTTGATTTGATGAAGCAGAAACGATATGGAAAATCAACTGTTTCACAAAAAAATGAACAGATACATGTAAACTTACTTTTAGAATGATTTTATTTAATTTCCGAGCGAGCAACACCAACACAATTGTCTATTTTGATCTCCAGTGTTGTTAAAAAAACAACTGACATTGCAATTTCAATTGTGACATCAATCACATGCAGCCCATGTTTTATTGAAATTAGAACATGGCTTTGTTGCCAAAGCAAAAGAATAATGTCATATTAGAATAAATATTTATGTAGAGTCAGGAATCTGTTAATCCCAGATAAGATAAGATTATGATTTTGTCCTATTTCTTACTAGTGAAACCTGGGATTTTAGTTACAACTCAAAAGAGTAACTAGAATGAAAACTTTTACCAGAGGCACCAAAATTCTTTATCAAAACACCATTCATTCTCTAATTATGTCTTAATAATTTAATAAAACTTTCTAAAATATTCATGCCAGTGTACTTGTGCAAGTTATTGTTTCAATAAAATAAAAGAAGAATGTATCATTGAACACAAAGTTCCATGCCCCATACAGAGAGTGGAACTGAATCATTTGCAACATGAAATTTAGAAATATATCAAATTTGAACTTAACCTGAAAGTCTATTTTCCCAATATTAAGGAGCAGAACTCTAAAAAAAACATGTGAAATATGTCAAATTCAGCCTCATCTTGTACATTATCACAGGGAATATGTAGCAAACTATACCTGGTGTTCTTTTATTTTTCTTAACTACAGGTGTCTTCTCCATTGCTTCAGCTTTACTAACTTTGGAGTCTGTAAAATATAATAACAGTCTGATGTTATGTCTGAACAAAATGCCTGAAATCCTTTAAAGGGTCAGTGTTATTATCTAACAAATTCTACAGTCACCATCCCTAACCTTGACACTTGCTACTGGATTCCAACTTTTATTACTTCAAAGCCTGGCTGAGCTCTTTAAATTTCCTTCCTCCTTTTTGTCTTTTTACGCTAGATCATTGTAGTAAAATTTCAGAATGATCACTGGACATGAACAAAAGTTATTACATGATACAGAAGTTTGTGTCTACAAATGGACAACATAAGCAACAGCTTCATACAATTTTAAGATTGCCAATGATTTTGTGGCTGTGTGAAACAGGAGGTCAATTGACTTATTTGGATTGTCAAAAGTATTAATTTAACAGAAAAGCATGATTTTATTATCAGTCAAATCAGAAACAATGAAGAACTTAATGAACTTAAGGAGCACAGAAAACTTCCTTTTTTGTGACTTAAAGCCTTGTATTCAAATTATGGGTGCAAACATTTATGATCAATTGTTTGTTTGTCTTTCTTTTTTGGGAATGCATTTGCCTTGTATTGTCTTGTGACTCAGTCATTTTATTACTCTGGAAGGAAAAGTCATGTTAATTATTACAAAGATAAATAGTGAAATAAATACAAATGAAGACTGTCGTAACATAGTCTATATTTTTTCTCTTTTGTATGTCATGTATACCTGTCTCCTCACTGACAACATCTGGTATCTTTGCCTTGCCAATAATAATCTCCTCTCCTTCTGCAGAAGCACCACTGGCATCCATACTTTCTGTTATAGAAATTTCTCTTCCATCAACTTTATTTTCTACTCCACTTGATGTTTTGACTTGTTTACTGTTAGTTTCTGTCTCTTGCTGAACATCTAACATCTGTTCTTCAGTTACATCATTACTGTCCTCTGTTCTCATTTCATCAGCATTATTTGATACAATCTGCTCTGCATCAACAAACTTCTCCTCAGTTACTTCTTCATCTGCTGCAACTTCTGTATTATTTAAATGTTTGCTAGTTAGAATTATATATCTGAGACTTTTTAACAAATTTAAACTTAATTGTTGACATATCAAACTTTAAGCAGCTAAATAGTAGCATTAAAAAAGTTTTAGTTGAAAGTAATTTTAACAAACGATTTAAATTGTTGTGTATATATATGCATCACAAATTGACAATTCTACCAAAATCACTATTAAAAAATAACAAAATACAGTGAAAAAAAATAATAATATTCCCAGGTTCACAAAAACATTGTCTTTTATTTCTTTTTCAGATTACCTGTATGGCCATTCTGTGACATATCTTCCTCTTCTGCTGCCTCTATAGTTTTCTCTTCTTTCTGGTTTACTACAACAATAATTCAGTTCAAACATTAAATCAGACAGATTAAAGCAATGTTTTCTAAGGTAGCTTGAATACAGAATTTTAAGTGTAAAACATCAACATTTTATCATAGATAGAAAAGCAGCAGATAATTGAAGAGTAATGGTTTATATTAATAAAAGGTGAAATGGGGTCAGTAAGATGGCAACTCCACATGACAATACATAAAGAAAAGATGTCTAGAGGTCAACAAAGGTCCTCAATAATACACAAGTCTCAAAACCATATATCATATTTGCAACTCAAATGTAGGATTTTAAGCCTATTTTAAAGACTTTACATGTATTCCTTTAAGACAAAGTAGCCATTAATGCTTGAAATTGCAGAATTTAACATAGAAACCAATGGGACTACGGATTAGTGGTTTTATTCCTATTACTGATAGGCATGTTAAATTCAAACTTTAGATACCATACCCATTACAATGAAAATTGGTCACATTTGTTTCAAGAATCAAGTAATCAAGTTACATTAACTTTTTTATGTAACAATAATGTTGGTGTCAAATTACAGACCTCAAATTGCTACAATAGGGTATTTCAGTCTTTGTTTGTCATTTAGCAGGCATACAATTAAGACTGTTATAGGTATTGAACCACTAATTCAGGCCCAGTCAGAAACATGTTACAAGAAAGTAGTACATATTTTAAACATAAACTGTTGACACAGAGATATGTCTCACATTTCTGCATAAAATTCAGAAAAAGACAATCTGATGGACAGCAACTACAATCTGAAGTTTAAATTTTTGCATTATTTAAGATTGAAATTAATGAAACATGTATGTTATGACTAGTTCATAGTAAAAATATAGCTTTTGGTCAAATTATCTAATGAGTGTTCATGTTTTTTTGGGTTTCTTAGTGTATCATTTTTTTCTAAGGAAATTGATGTATACTTATATGGGAATTCCAAAATCTCACTTGAAATACAATTTTCAACCAGTTTAGCAAATTGTCTAGCTGGGAGATACATAAATTGCTCTTGTTGATCCATGTTTTTACATAAAAGTATGGTTTTTACCAAAACACACTCCTTTTCCAACATGTAGAAAAAAGGGGAGGACAAAATTATCAATTATATTTTATGTTTGGATCACTAGATCTATATTCAATGAACCATCTCTGATAAATATAATACATATAGGTTAGAACATTGTTATTTAGGTAGATATTAACAAATAAGAACTGGTAATAATTGAAAAAGTCTCATATTGGTCACTTTCATTCTCAATATGGAGTTTTCTTTGTACAATGCATATGTTACTACCAGTCTAATTTGAGCTTGAATTCAATGATATAGTGTTTCAACAAAAGCTTTATGTGTATTACTATGCTAGAAATAGATCATAGAAGGAAATTAAGTAAGCAGAAGGCAATATATCCAGTTTGGTGCTGGTATAGCAGTGGTGGATCAGGGGGGGGGGTTCAACCCCCCCCCCCCCTTTTTTTGGGCCGATCAATGCATTTGAATGGGGACATATGGGTGGAACCCCCCCTTTCTCCTGGGTTGGGAACCCCCCCCTTTTTTAAATGGCTGGATCCACCCCTGTATAGGTATAGAACCACTAATTCAGGCCCAGTCAGAAACATGTTACAAGAAAGTAGTACATATTTTAAACATAAACTGTTGACACAGAGATATGTCTCACATTTCTGCATAAAATTCAGAAAAAGACAATCTGATGGACAGCAACTACAAAATAGGGGCAAGGGCCTCAAAATAGTCGTCAAACTGACATGTACTGATCATACTAAGTAATGCAACTTCATATTAAATATCAATGATCTATCACAAGTAGTTCCTATCAAACTAACTTGAGGATGCACTTAGGTGAAATTAAAAAAATCTAGAATTTAAAATTGATACTATAAGTCAGAAGAGCATTTGTTAAGAACAAAATAAGCTAAAAATATTTATAGTTTATGGAGCTCCTTTTCGAGATATTTAATTTTTAAAAAATGGTGGGAAAAGGCTGACTTGGACTTTTACCTTATATTTGCATTTGTATTATTTGGGTCTCAAATCGAAAGAAAAGAAATCTAGAATCTGCTTAAATTTTGGTTAATGACCTTTTATGAGCTATTCAAGTCTTATATGAAAAGAAAAATGGGTGTTATGGGGCAAAATATTTTACCCTGTATCTTAGGGAAAAAACCAAGAAGTCCGATCATCTGACAAAAATTCCTTAATCTGACCTAAGTACATCCTTAAGCAGAAAACATAACATTGAAAAATGCTAGTTAACTCAAAGTTGTTGGACCATGACCTAGGGGGCAGGGCCTCGAAATAGTAGTCAAACTGATACATACTGATAGTAATGAAACTTTGATACGCTGCAGCTGTTGCCGAAAAAGCAATCCCTATGTTTCACTTTCCGTGACTTTAGTCGGCAGCGAGACAAAAATAGTTCCTACGCATAGCTGTAACTTTGTCAATAAGTAAAATATTTGGGTAAATTTAGTAACAAATGAAAGCTTAAGGACTTGGGATCACTGTAGAACCCTTGATGAAATTTTTTATTGAATAATAAAAAAAAATATATGAAATTATGATAGGAAGCAATATTTGCCCTGTTGTTCAGATCAGAGGTACCTGTTTTTGTAGTACCAAACTTTGGGGAACCAGTGCACTTTAATATGCAATTAAAGGTATGTTGAAGTCAGGATAAGGTATAGTTTTGACATGAAATGACTGCCAATTTGTTTGAACATAAAGTAGCCATAAATGATTGAAATTGCAGAATTTGTCATAGAAAATAATGGGGCTATGAATTAATGGTTTTATTCCTTAATTAACTTAAAACCTATGACATGAAATTTTTCCTACTATTGACAGAATCTGCTCCATCATCTATCTGTAAGGAAGTGTCTGCTGTTTCCCCAAGTGAGGACTGCAGTATGATGAAATCTTCTACATTATCACACAGCTCACTGAGATCTTTAAATAGTTTTGTATATGTATGGTGGAATGTCATCTCTGAATGAACCATTATATTCCCTGGACTGATAAAGAGAAAAAAAAGATATCTTAACATAATAATCAAAATCAGTAATCATATATATGATGTCAATTAGTGTTTCCCCCAAGCATGTTTAGCATGGATAGACGCCATGCCCTTTTTTGTCTTAATAAATGACGCCATGCCCTTTTTTCACTTCTTTGGGTAAAGCCATTGTCTCAAAAAATGCCCTTTCTTCCTGTCTTCATGTTTCTGGCAAGTTTTGGACCCTCAGCTAATTAACATTTACAACAGGTGATATAAAATTGTGATTTCAGTTAATCCGCTTATCTTACAAAGTTCTAAAAGTTCATTTATACTGTGAATCCTGGTTTAAAAAACTTGTAAGGGTTCTGCGGAACCCAGTGTCTCGCCTACTTTTTCTATTAATCGCAGGCTCAACAAAAATGAAGAAGTAAATCAATAAAAATATTCCTCTTGATACTATCTTTTGATCGAAAGAAGCTTCTGTCCAAGTTTGGTAAAAATCCAGGATAGTTTATGAATCTAATAAATGTTTAAAAACTTTAACTGCAGACTGAATGTAATGTTAACTGGAAGAAAACAAAATTTCCTTCTAGATACTAGCATTTGATCATAAACAAGCTTTTGTCCAAGTTTGGTACAAATCCAAAATAGTATAAGAAAGTTATTAAAATTTTAAAAACTTTAACCACAGAGTGAATATGTTGTTTCCTGGCAGAAAATCTAAGTCCATTTAAAAGTAAAATACGGAAAAAATGGATTTATTTTTTTACAAAATTTCCTTCTAGATACTAGCTTTTGATCATAAACAAGCTTCTGTCCAAGTTTGGTACAAATCCAAAATAGTATAAGAAAGTTATTAAAATTTTAAAAACTTTAACCACAGAGTGAATGTGTTGTTTCCTGGCAGAAAATCTAAGTCCATTTAAAAGTAAAATAAGGAAAAAATGGATTTATTTTTTTACCAAATTTACTTCTAGATACTATCTTATGATCATAAACAAGCTTCTGTCCAAGTTTGGTACAAACCTAGGATAGTTTAAGAAAGTTATTGAAATTTTAAAAACTTTAACCACAGAGTGAATGTAATATTTCCTGGCAGAAAAACTAGGTCCATTTATAAGTAAAATACGGAAAAAATGGAATTTTATTTATACAAAATTTACTTCTGGATACTATCTTATGATCATAAACAAGCTTCTGTCCAAGTTTGGTAGAAATCCAGGATAGTTTAAGAAAGTTATTAAAATTTCAAATATTTAACCACAGAGTGAATATTTGTGGACGCCGCCGACAACAACGACGATGGAATGTAGGATCGCTATGTCTCGCTTTTTCGACTAAAGTCAAAGGCTCGACAAAAAAAGGGGCCAAACTTTTGTTGATCAGAACTGTCCCCTGAAACTAATTGAAGTGAAATTTTGAACTAGATTTTTAGATCTTATATCCTAATCTTCATATTTTGAAACAATACACTTGCTATCTTGAGTTCTAATTCCATCAACAACTGCCAGTCCATACTTTACCAATGCAATATGACAATTTATTGCCTTTCTTGTTTTCAGCATACTGTAGGTGCCCTTTTGTTAATTTTCCATACACTGTAGGTGCCCTTTTTATAAATTTTTGTGCACTCTAAATGCCCTTTTTCAATTAAGTTACCATGCCCTTTTTGTATGATAGAGGAAACACTAATAAAATGTAACAAAAGTGCACACTCTGAAATTTCTTTCCTGTTTTTAATTGAGTTTTGTGTTGGAGTGAAGGTAAGGTTAATAACACAGGCATCACATAAATTTAACATTATCAATGATTCATGAAAATGAGGTCAAGGTCAGATGAACCTTGATAAAAAGATATATACACCTAACCATCATCCCATACACCAAATATAATAGACCAATTGCTTAAAGTATCTGAGAAACAAACCTTACCATAAAAACTAAATGGAGTAACCATAAAAACTAAATGAGGTCATTGACACTTGAAACATGCCAGACAGATATGTACCCCATAGTCATTCCATACATCAAATATAGTATTAATTATAGTACCTGAGAAACAGACCTAACCAAAAAATTGTTGATCAATGAACCATGAAAATGAGGTCAAGGTCAGATAAACCATGCCAGACGACATGTATTCATTACAATCGTTCCATACACCAAAAGCTTACAACTCAGATACCAATATCTTGCTTAAGGGAAGGATAAATCATACTTTGTAAAAAAACACTATGTTTCAAACAAAATATTCTCTGAAACTGACATTGTCAAGATGATTGATTTCTTGATTGATAAAATATTAGTTTTTGAAGGCCTGTTTTCAACCAACAATTGGCATTCGTATGTACCTCTTCTTGCCAACCTTTTCCTTTATTCATAGGAGGCAGGCTTCATACAGGAGCTTCTTAGGAAGAATGAAAATAAACTAGAATTATCCTTTAACTTCCCATTCCACTATATAGATGATGTCCTTTCACTAAATAATTCAAAGTCTGGTGACTATGTCAAACGCACCTATCCCTTCTTGAAATAAAGGATGCAACAGACACAGTTAAGTGTGCTTCATATGTTAACTTTCATCTGGAAATTGACCATTAGGGTCTGTTTAGAACAAAACTTTACAAAGAGATGATTTCAGCTTTCCAATTGTAAACTTTCCATTTCTATTCAGCAACATTCCAGGAGCACCTGCATATGGAGTATATATCTCCAAATTAATAGGGTGTCTGAGAAACAGACCTAACCATGAAAACTTAACTTTGATCACTGATCCATAAAAAAAGGCGAGGGTCAGGTGAATCATGTCAAATGGACATTTATACCTTGCAATGATTATATATGTTAAATACAGTTGTCCTATTAGTCATAATGAGTGAAAAAATCATATGATAAACAACTCAACAGTTATATAAGCAGCTGCTGAACAATGACAGAGATATCAAATTCAAGGGACAATTGACAGACAGAAACTTCAGAACATAAGGCATTTATATACAAGATATGAAGTATGAAAATCTTTTGCCTATTGAAATATGAAGCTTTATACAAGTAGTTTATGCTATTAGCACTGTATATCATCCCTTTGTCTTGCATTATACAACATTTGTGGCAGGTAAGACTTTAATGCTTAATAGAGATACTCATTCTTTCAAAAATGTATCTAAAATCAGTATGTTGCATTTACCTTAAGTATTCATACATTTTAATCATTCAAATATTTCTAGAAATTTCTTAAAATCTTGACTATCACACAGGTCACTTTAATCAAAATAGTTTAACTTAGTGATATATACCTTTTTCTTGTAGATCTTGTAGTGTTCTGTATGTTGCTACAAATAAATCAAAAGAAAAAATATGAAAGATAAACGATAAATAAATTTCATGTATTTAAGAATATCTGAAAGTTTCATTGAAATACAGTCAATATTTAAGAATGGGGTTGCAGATATAATGTGCACATTAACTTATCATTGATTGGACACAACAATTACTATATAACAAACTTTAGTAAGCAGGGGAGGGGACAGCTGGTAAAAATTAAAATGAACCTAAAGTCAGTAAGTTCAAACATTGGATAGGATCAAAATGTCCTATGTATATCTTTTCTCACAAATTCAATTAATTTTGTAAAAAGGGCTAAACTATGGTTATCTATGCCAAAATATCTTTCGTTCTTGTTCATGAGTTTTTAAGTTTGCATCCTGAGAAAAATGAAAACAGTACAAACAATGAATTCGCAGTAAAATTATGACCTTTCTTTTCTTACTATACAATATGAGAATAGCTCATAGTTAAAGGTCATACAGTGACCTGTAATTGTTTACACCTTTGTCCTTTGGTCTCTCATTGGCAATCACACAATATCATTCAAAAAAATCAAAGATATAAACTTAAAGTTATACCTCTGCTAATATCAATCAACATCTTACAAAATTCTTATGTACACCACAATATAAATATAAGGAGATGTGGTATGATTTCCAATGAGACAATGTTCTACAAGAGTCCAAATAACATGAATTGTAGATCATGGTACAGCCTTCAGCAAAGAACAAAACTTAAAATGTAAAGTCAGCCATAAAAAGCATTGACATGACCAGGTAAAACAATTCAAAGGAGAAAACCAATGGCTAAATTTATGAAAAAACATTAAACTTTAAACAAATATGACATTTTACGGAAACAAATTGAATCATGGATTTATGTTGCCATTTTAAGTCAGTTTTTTTCCTCCAGATACTTTAAAAAAAGTAACTACAGTAAATTAAGATTTACCTGTATTTAATAACAACTACATTCATATAAACTTTAGATACATTACTGTTGTGCAGCAGTTCATCAATCTGAAAAGATACACAAACTTCTTGTGAGATATTTAAAACCATAAACCATAAGGACATTTTCATTTAAGCATTTACTTGAAATCACTGTAACATTTCTTCACAGAAATAGTGTTTTACAAAATGGAAGTCAGTTCTATGTTACAGAACTTTTTACCATGAAAGAGTGTATTGAAACAGCAAGATTTTTATTTACCTTTTCACATCAAATCTTTTCAGAAACAACATCTTGTGAGTCATACATAATTCAGTAAACTTATGATAAATTTTATTTGTAAGATGTTTATTGAGCTTCAGAATATCTTCAATTGCAAACCATTAAGTTTTCTACAAAAGATGCAAGTTTTGCTTCCATATGAAAATACACTTCTTTTCAACACTTCTTAAACCTGAATGTAACATTTTTAAGTTGGAAATAAGTGTGTCTCTGTGGTAGCTTTACTATTTAATTCACAGAAATTGTCAAGTGCTTATACACTACAGATATTTAAAGCTTAAGTGCTTATATGAAAGAATTTTTCATTTATCTAATTTGTTCATTTCATTAGGGTTTGTTCACAATTTCCAATCTAGTTCATAAAATTTAATAGTAAGTATTAATTATAAGTAGATAACAACAAAAAAACAGAAAACAATGTTGATGTTTGGATTTACTAACTGCATAAGAAACAATGAGAAGATGAAACAAATGCACAGTAAGTTGGAATTGAAAGTATTGTCAAAAATAAACCATAAAATAATACCTCTTTGACGAAGTTTTGTGACAAGGTTTGGTACTCCTCTGTTGAAGGATCTAGAAGATCATCTATCCATTTATTCTTCAGTTTGATTTTACCTTCTAGTGCAACAGTACCTACAATGAAACCAAATATACAGTTTCATGTAGACTTCATATAGTAATTTAAAATCACTTGAATAAAAGCTACATATTTGTGGAGTAAAATGAATAAGGAATCGAATGATGTGTGATTTATCTACTTGAAAATGAATCAATCATTTTTTGAGATAGAAATCTTGCCGCCCCAAGTCTGGTTCTGCAATTTCCAAGTTTTCTATATGGACTGCATGATGATGTCCTAATGCCCAGCAAGTCCTAAAAAAGGCTGTCAAAATTCAGAGCAATTTCAGACAAGGCACAAATTAAAACTACACATTAATGGAGATAGCATATTCTAACATACTGATTTATTTTGACAACAATACAGATTCCTTGAAACTTAAGCTTTTATGATCACATTTATGAACTTAAACATGAAACCAGAATATCATTTTTGCAGAATGACCGATAACATTCTGGATCCTTGCCTCTCATATATAGTGTTAATGCAAGAATTCTAATGAAAGAAGAGGTAACAAACATGTTTTTTTAAGTCTGAACATTAAATTTATAAGAGTAAATTCACTGTATTGATTATCTAAACAAAACATATTTCATACTATTATAATTTACTTATAAATAACATTTAGTTCCAGGTTTACTAAAGTTATAAACAAAACATACAAGTATATCAATAGAAAGCAGTGTATTCCAGGGATCTCCATGGATGAAAATTTAAAGATGGGGGAATTTTCACCATGACAAAACCCCGTGTCTACGGCGTGGCATGAACGAAAGTATTTCATTTCTCCATTTCTATGTAAGGAATGGTGAACAGACTGATATATTGCTGATTATATTTATTACATTATAGAATAACCAATATTTTCATTAATTGTCATTTGTAACAATTCCAATGTCAAGCCTGCATGGCTCCCCCTTAGTCAAGCATGACCACAAACTGTCCTTAAGGTTCCCAAATTGTTTTCTTGCTATTTTGGTAATTGATTAGGACTTCAAAATCGGGGGGATCTTTTTTCACTGTCAAATTCAGAAGTCTTGAACGGGTATCGACAATTTGCAGCATCAACAAGAAGTTTTGTAAAACTTTGAAGAAAGATTATGAGGGCAAATGTTTACAACTAAAATGGTTTTTATGAATTTAAATTGCAAATTTCATAGTAATAGACTGTGCAACATGCATCTTTTGATTCTGAATGTAAACCAGATGCATTAATTTGATTGTAAACTACGAAATGAATTCGGAATTAGGATACGAAATTTCTTCAGATTATCAAGTTGCTGTTAATATTCATGTATTTACTATTAAACTTGTAAAGTAATTCAATATTATCGATAATTGCTGGACTCGTGTTATTTGGCATGAAATTATGTTCTGTTTTACATCTTATTTAGTACTCATTTAAAAAAGGGGATGCTGATTTCATAAGTCAATATAAAAGCATGCGTTCGACTTGTTAAACTTTTTTCTTCGTAACTGGATTTAAAATTTATTTTTTAATCTAAATTTTCCTTAGCATTTTCTGAAACATAATTAAATAATGCAATCAATCTCCATCTTGATCAAGTGTTCTCCTGTCAGGTGTGTCGATCTACCTGTACAAGTGATTAGCACTCTTTAGCCGGATATACCTCATGGCTTTAAAACTGTAATCAGGAGGACCATCTGGATTATAATACAATAAGGGTTATGCAATCACATGCAATTGATTTTAATTGCTTACAAAAATGGCGACGGCTAGTGAAACAAAAACAATTTTTGACAATGGCGAAAAATAATTTAACAATGGCTGAAGATGTTGTAACGATGGCGGTGCGCCATCATAAAACAGGTCATGGAGATCCCTAGTATTCAATGAGAAAAAAATTGAATCTGTAGTTTTTTTAACCAAACCAAAAAATATTCTCATCTGACAAATTATGAGACTTAAAATTTTGCTGCATAATAAAAATAAGTGAACATGATAATTTATTATTTAATAACAAACTCATATTTAAATAAAATGTTGACACAGAGATAAGTCTTGCCTATCAGCATAAAATTCAGAAAAAGACAATCTGATGGACAGCAACATTGCTTATTAATTCAGCCACTGGACCATAATCTAGTGGGCAGGGCCTGAAAATGGTCGACCAACTGAGATGCACAGACAGTAATGTAACTTTACAGATAATATCGTTGTTTATTGTAAATAGTTCCTATCAATATAACTTAAGCAGAAAAACTTAACATTGAAAATTGCTAATTAATTCAAAGTCACTGGACTATGTCCTAGGGGACAGGGCCTAAAATAGTCATCAAACTGATATGTACTGATAGTAGTGTGACTTCATACAAAACATCAGTGATCTATCACAAGTAGATCCTATCAGATTAACTTAAGCAGAAAACTTAACATTGAAAATTGCTAATTAATTCAAAGTCACTGGACCATGTCCTAGGGGGCAGGGCCTCAAAATAGTCATCAAACTGATATGTACTGATAGTAATGCAACTTTATATTAAATATTAATGATCTATCACAACTAGTTCCTATCAAACTAACTTAAGCATAAAACTTAACAGTTGTTGACACCGTCGCCGGAGCGTCGACTGAAATACAATCCCTATGTCTGGCTTTCCTCAACTTTTGTCGCAGGCGAGGCAAAAATGATACTACAAAACATAAAAGCTTTAATGTCATGATAACCTTATGAAATCTATTGACCCTCTACTGATGCATAAGGGTCACCACAGTGTAAACCAATCACAATTAATTTACCCGAGGTCGGATAAAAGCATTTTACAGATGTTATTAATCTTATAACTGATGTTACCATTCTTATTCTTGTTTATTCCTGCATAATGAGTTCTAAGTATAATATGCACTAAATAAGTCAATACTTTTTCTGGTTTTATTGTATTGTTAGCTTGTGGTCTCTTACTCAACATTTATTAATATTCTTACCTTTACAATTTGTAAAAGCAGAACTTGCTTTTCTTGGAGATAAACTGTTTCTGTTAGATCTTGAACCACTTGAACTTTCATCTGAAATTCATTTACATATTCAGTAATAGTAGTATGCAATAATAAAATAGTCTGTTTTGATAAGTAAAATATCTGCTATACATATCTTTACATATCCAAATTCTAATGAAAATTACTGTAACTTTTATGATAGAAAGTTACATTTAACTCACAAAATTCTAAACAGACCATGCATCCATGTTATCACAAAAGAGTCTGTAAAATTTGAAATTACATGATAAATATCAACTCATACATGAAACCAGTGGCCTATAAAATTATAAATCACCGACAAATAATTTCTAACTACATTTAATTTAAATGAAATATTCATATTCATTGACTTGTTATTATTTTTATTTAATGAATATATTTTTTATGTACCTTGTCAATAATCCTTCGACAACAATAAAATCATTATTGGTAAAATCATTAAAATAAACCTTAAATACCTTCAATGGAGTTGTCTCCCTTTTCAGTCACAATTGGACTATCTCCAGTTTTTCTCCCTGAAGCAATTAAATTCACAAAATTTATTATAATTCAGAGAAACAAAACATAAATTTAATCATGATATTCGTAATTATAATTTGCTGTAAGACACATCAAAATTTCCACTCAGATTAAATTTGGTGTCTATGCCTGGCCTATGATATTAGAATGATGCTCCTGTTTACCGCTTTCATTAATATATTCCAATTCAATTATTAGATTCCTAAATAACAGTGTTCTTCCTAGGGTACATTTTTATGTATTTCATTCATCTTTTTCAATTTAGCAAGAAAATTTAATAACTTGTTTTATTTCATGTGTACATTTTGTGTTGTCAACATAACCATAACATTTGTAGGTCGTGGAGCAAGAGCCAAATTACTGTCTAGGGAGAGATCATGTGCATTTATATATCCATATTTTTAGGTTCTTAGGTCTTATTATATGATAGTGCTCATGTTGTAGGAGGACTATATTCTTAGCATGTTACAAATGTAAACATGGTCAAGAAAAGATGGATATTAGATTTCTTCTGTGGTTCTTCCAGTTTGGAAGATGCAAGGACACCTGAAAAACTTTCTGATTGTTCCCAATAACTTTAGCTTCCAGCATTATTTGAGAAAAAATCTTACCATCAAGTTTTACAGAGGTATCAATCTAGAAACTTCTTTCGATTTTGGAAAAGCTGCTAGTATTGATCTAAACAAACACACATTGTAATATTTTCCCCAAAATGAAAATAAAAAAATATATGCAGCTAATTTATGTCGCATTTTGGTAATTGGTTCCATCCTATTTAGTGCTGAAAAAATTCATCCATAAAACACAGAATTTTGAACCACAAAAATGAAGGCTTGAATAACTTTACTGTTTTTGCAATTTCAGGGGCCAAATAATGGCTCTTATCATACTTCCTCCTTTATATTCATCTTAAGAATATTCACTCAATACATACAAGATAAATTTGGAATAAATTTTCCCAGGATACTTTTAAAAGAAGAACTGCTGGGTGATTGGTTAGTAGATGTATCCTGTAGACTGGTGTTCTCTTCAGTAATGTCAATCTCTCCATCATCTGAAAGAAGAACTACATACAAACAAAATTTCAAAACAAAACAAAGTTAAAAACTTAATATTACAACAAAGTATTGCCAATATTAGTGAGTACTTTCTATAAAAGTCATATCTACCCTAATTGATGATCAAAGTGGAGTTAACAAGAAAACAGTTAAGTATCAAAGGTTCCAATTACAATGTTTTAAATTAGAACTTGGTAACATGGTAAAAAACACACATATGGTTGTTACAATTTAACTTTTTTGCTATTTGTGCGAGTCATTATAAATATACAAGTGCTTAGTATATATCATATACAATAATTTAATATACATGTATATTACAATGAATTATTGAAGAAATGATTCCTTCATGCCATGATCTATGATCAATTTAACAATGGTAGGTATTATATTCAGTCAATATCCTCATATTCAGTGTAGTGTTTGGGAGATGTAAAATGTTTATAAATATATGGCCTACTTAAGTTATAATTAGCACATAGCATGATATGAAAGAATAATTTCAATTCAAATAGTAAAGTTCAACTTGAACTTTTTTTGATCAAGCAAATACATTTTGTATATGAATACGAATACGAATACTTTATTAAATATAATTAAAGGGCCTGTTTCCAAGCATATACATCTATATATATAGTATTAATATACAGTAATTTTAAGGTATATGTGAGGAGTTAAATATTCATATAACTAGTTTTTTTCTGCAATATGTTTATATGTGTAGCCTTGTCAGTGGTTATTAATGTCCAAATAGGAATTTGGTGTTAAAGTCAGGTTCACAAAATTGTCTATTAATGATGAACAGTCATTTGAAGCTTGTCATATGCAATATGTTGTGAACTCTTGAGAAGACTGCATTAGTGACCTCTAAATATCTAGTTTTAGCTTTTTGTCTCAAAGGCATAATCCAACTCTTTATTCCTACAACCAAAACATAACCAAGGCTGTACATTGGAAAATAATTCTATATATATAAAATTAACCTAACAGGGAGTTCAGGATTCTCACTGGTATATATATATTTTGAGATTAAGTGCCAGCTGATTCTGATCGAGTCCATAGGACAGTAATTTAAAAACATGTTTGTAGTCCTAATCTGACGGTGGTCTAATTTGGCTAATTTCACATGCTCCAATGAAAGGATCTTTTTTAACACTGGATTAGTTAGGTTAATATACATGTAGTATATATTTATATATACAAATATACATGTAGTATATATATTTATATATACAAACAACAGAATCTTTGTACTCCTCCCAATTCAAACACATACAGTATGGGTTTTTCTCATTGTGATGGCCATACAATGATTTGTAATTGTTTAAACCCTTGCCCTTAGGTGTTTACATGATAAACAGCTCATACCATATAGCTTATATATATATATAGTAATATTACAAATTTACTCTAGTGCAACTGTTGAAAAATACTTTTAATTTTATAAATTTCATAGTTTTGTCTTAATGAAATATACTCCCAATGCAAACAATGGAATTGTACAAGTAATGGAGTTTTGTATTAATTATATATATTGCAATGAATTTGTTTTTAACTTATTTCAAGATTCACTTAGTTTTCAAATTTTCTCCATCTGCCAAATGCATCAACTACAAACTTATCCTATTACTAACCTACAGTTGTTTACATTTTCCATTGTTTTTATATAGATAACATAATTATAAATTTAAATATAATTAATTATCTACCTTTGACTTATTTATTGCTGGTAAACATGTGCTTTAAATGAAAACTAATGTTGATTTCCTCGCATTTTATCTTGTTAGCATTAGCCAATCACTTGCATCATTTATTTTCATTTCTCTTGGATTTTACCTTTTCTGCAAGCAATGTATGAAAACGTAACTCAATTTCCTGTAAAATATTGACAAGTAGCACCTTTTCATAGTCTTTTCAACAGCCAAAGGATAGTATTGATGATAGGACAACCTGCATAACCTGGAGGCGTCATGGGTTTCTGATATGAAGAGTCCAGGACACATGTAAGTATGCTCCTTATTGAGAATCCTAGGAGTTCTAGCTTAAATATACAGTGTCAAATATACATGTGCTGTAAAGATGAACCATTTTTAAATACAAAAAGTCAGAGATAATGTTAGAGAAAAGTGTTAATTGTACAAACCTTCAGTTACTGCTTCATCAGATAGTCTACTTCTCTTTTCTGCTGGTTCATCTGATTCTGTTGGATTCTTTCTTTTAAACATCTTTAGTTATCATTCATTGTTCTAAAACTGAAAAATAAATAGATCCTCTGAAAAATCAGATTGTTTATATTTCATTATAAAGTCATGCTAGTAAAACATACTTACATGTACATTTTGTACCTTGCCAAATGTGTAATTGACAATATAAACAAATCACTAGAAATTTGATTTGTCAGATGTAGTGTAATCTATGTCAAATTTATTCACAACATATTGTCTAGACAAAAAGAAATTTAGAGCAACATGTAGCTAGATGGTGTGGATGCTTCTGCTTCATTTAAGAGCAAGCCATTTTTGAGATATTAATTACTAAATCAGTTGCATGTAATGAATGAGGGTACTACTGAACAGAGTCTGTAGAAGTCTGTTCAAGTCTGGAGGCCTAATAGTGGTTTATTAGTGCTAATAACAATAAAATATAGTTTATAATGTGTTATTTTATTACTGGTAATATGAATCTTTTTAAATCAATGAATAACTGCAAAAGTGGTTTTAATACATATATTCACTAAACTTCGGACTTCCTGATCACTGGAAATGGTGACCCTGGACATAGACTACATGTATGTAAGAGTCTTGAGGGAAAATATGTTTTTTTTTAACATATAATATGCTTCATACAAGATTTTTTAAGAAAATTGGTTCTATATTTTAGACAAATATTTAGTTAATCCTACTTGCGCATTATGAACCTGGTCGACAACATATGTTTATGTATATGTGTTACACCTCAATATTAATTAAAAAGACAACATCGAGTTCATATACAATATTTATATATTGCAAACATGTAACCAACTTTTCACATCGAGCAACAACCTTAAAACTGACCAGTATATACATTAAATGTGTCTTTATCTTTGAATGATAAACATGTTAAATAATCATAAAATTTAAGTGTTCTACAGAGGCGACTTTATGGCCATAGATAAAGAGCACTAATTAATTGCGACAGTTCTATAGAGTTCATTCAGATGCTAAGAAAATATTTAAGATAACAGGTGTCACAGTCAAATTTCTTGTAATGTCTAATACACAAATAATACAAAAATTAGCCTTTTAACAATATGTAGGACTCTAAAGTGCGATGGTACCCTAAAGTGCGACTGTCAAGCTAAAGTGCGATGGTCTATGCTAAAATGCGATGGTGGCAAATGCTAAAGTGTGATGGTGGCAAACGCTAAAGTGCGATGGTTGTTTGTTTTTTTAAGTGCGATTATGTGACACGCTAAAGTGTGATGGTAAAAGTGCGATTGTATTGCCCACTTGAGTGCGATGGTATAACACGCTAAAGTGCAATGGTATAGCTCGCTAAAGTGTGATGGTGTAACGGAAATGGTGTTCAGCAATGGTTTTTGTTTTTTGCTGTGTTTCTGTTAGTTTTTCGTTTTATTGTTTTGTTTACAAATCAAGCCGTTGTCTTTCTCTTTTGAATTGTTTTACACTGGTCATTGTGTGGCCCTATATAACTTCCTATGTGGCATCGGCCAAAACTCCACGTTGAAGGCTGTACGGTTATTAGTTGCAAACATCAACTACATTTGGTGTTGGGTGGATAGTTGTCTCATTTCTTTCTTCTTTTTCGTTGTCTAATAAAAATCCTGGACAAATATTCTGGTTTTCTGGCATGTCCATTTTTGTCTGTACAAATGGCTTGTAATGTCAGAATGCTGTTTACATTGCTTAATGTTGCCAACTTTCATGAACAAATATACTTTCGCGGAAAAACACACTTTAGGGTATTGAGGCATCAGACTCTAGCGTGTTCTATTGAACAGCACACACCATCACATTTTAGCGTACCAAACCATTGCACTTTAGCGTAGACCATTGTACTTTAGCGTGACCATCGCGTTTTAGCACCCCATCGTACTTTAAGAGTCCTACATATATAAACAAAGTCGGTACAGTGCTTTCAACCAACATCACTGACATGTATAAAACTGGTGCCACAGTACAGGAATTATGGGACAAGTTCAAGAAAGACCTTTATACAAACCTGGACAAACATATACCATCAAAACTCATCCACTCAAAAACCAGCCTACATTTTGTACTTTGGATAAATCACAAAATCAGGAAAATGTTTAGGAAGAAAACAAGAATATAACAGCAGGCAAAGAAAACAAAGAACTGGACAAACTATAGACATTTTCAAAAAGAATGTAATAGGCAAATCAGGAAAGATGAATGGGGATACAAAATACCACCATCCTAGAAGGGCTAGAAAACAACAACTCAAAACTCATCTGGAAGTATGTAAAATCAAGAAAACAATTTAATATAGGAATATCACCCATTAAAAGCAACGACCATCTAATTAACGACAGCAAAGGGAACGCAGAACTACTGATAAAGCAATTCAGCTCAGTATTTACAAGAGATAATGACAAAACACTACCTAAAACATCAAAGCACATAAAGAATACAATACCGCTTTTAGATATAAGATCAGAAGGAGTTCAAAAGCTGCTCAAAAACTAAATACATCAAAGGCATCAGGCCCAGATGGAATACCAAACCGAATATTAAAAGAATGCTCATAACAACTAGCACCTGGACTTGCATTAATATTTAAAAAATCCATAAATACCGGTACACTACATGTACCAAGAGACTGGCTAAATGCAAATATTTCAAGTGTCTTCAAAAAGGGAGACAAACACACAACAGAAAACTACAGACCAGTATCACTAACATCTGTACCGTGCAAGTTACTAGAACATATTATCTGTAGACATATGCTTAAACATCTAGAGAAGCACAGGGTACTTACATCACTTAACCATGGATTCAGGTCGGGCTATTTCTGTGAAACCCAACTGCTAGTCACACTATGTGACTTCATGAAATCTTTAGACACAGGAAAACAAACCGATGTACATGTAGCTATCCTGGACTTCTCAACAGCATTCAACACTGTGCTGCATAACAAACTACTTCATAAAATGGACGAATATGGACAGATGTGAGAGGACCACTCAACAAATGGTTAGAAATGTTCCTAACCAAATGGAAATTGAAAGCTGTTGTATATGGAGAGGAATCAGAAGAAGGTTCAGTTGACCCTCGTTTTCCCCATGGAACTGTACTAGGACCTCTTCTCTTCCTCTGCCACATTAACAACCTGCCAGATGCAGTTAAATCATCGGTCAGACTTTTTGCAGATGACTGCCTTCTATACAGAACCATTAATACACAACATGCTAGCAGAGTTAGAACTGGACAATCTACAGTCAAGAAGAACAAGTCAACGGCTGGTATTTCTGTACAAAGTGGTTGAGGGTTTAGTCCCAGCTATCAATCCTAACGATTTTCTGGTTAAAAGTAAACCCAAGAGAAAAATTATACTGAAAAAATTTGATAACTTTGAAAGTCTCATACATAGTGACAAATTCAGTGCAGAACAATACGAAGGCACTAGACACTATTCCATATAATACGGATCCATTTAAGAACTTTTTCTTTGACAAGAGCATAATACATTGGAACCAACTCGAAGACAGTATTGTATGTGCAAATACAGTTGAGAGCTTCAAGGCAGCTCTCCAACACTGTCAATAGGTGTCCCTCTCTCCCGTTGGATAAAAGCCAGAATTGGTATCTTTAACTTATATATACAGATACAGAGTGAATATATGTATTGATCGAAAATCAATTTTACTGTTTATAAATGATTAAAAAAGAATCATATATTCAAAACATGAAAAAAATAACAAACTATAAACAATATTTGTTCATTATTAACACAAATAAACCTATTTCAAGCCTTCAGACTTGAAGAACAGACTCTGTTTCATACATGTACGACAGAACGAATGATGTCCCAGTTGTTCTTAATCCCTTTTGGGAATCTGAGTCTGAAGCAATTTTCTGAGAATCCCAAAACTTGGGCAAATCTGTCAAAAGGGATTAAGTTGTTCTTTGATGTTTGACAATTGACATGAAGCTGTTTCTTCAATAATATCGTTTTTGGTTTAACAAAATTATGCTTTGAGTATACAGCTGATACATTTTTGTAAGTTGACTTGTGTTCTTACTTTTTAATAAAATTTAAACTTGCTGTTTTAACATAAACTCGGTGGCAGAGCTGTGGTTTTCCATTCTGACACGCCTTGGAAGTGAAAGTGAAAGCAAAACGTAATGTCTAAGAATTATAGCCTGTATTTGATCATTAAAAATCATATGCATTGTGATTTAAATGCTAAATATTTTCTGTATGTACTATAAACTTGGACTAACACCATAAAACTGTGTTCTTTGCAAAATTAAATTTCTGTTTACAAACAAACGGAAGTGGTGTCTAAAAATCTTCGGAATCGGTGAAACTAGTGTAGTATTTTCCGGAAATAGACAGCCAACTTGTTTTCCGAAAGTAAAGATGATAGAGGGTAATATTTTATGTATATTCACGAACACGAAAGTTTCCAAGACGTCTGTATCGTGCAGCTTATATTTTTTCCCCAAAAATTGATACAATGCAACAAGAATATTTTGTTATAGTAAGCTCAGCTGAAAATCATGGTTTTACCTATATACCTTATCAGAGATATATATTACATGTCTCTGACCTTATGTTATATGAAGGTATATAGGTAATATTTTTCAGAGATGAGACTGGCATGAGCTTGATGGTCATTTTTTGCTGAACAGAGTTTTTCCAGCTATATATTTGGAAGATCAAACGGTAAATACAAGGGCTGCCATGAGAAACGTAAAGGAAGAGACAAATGGTGCTTCAGTGTAAAAGAAAAAAAACCACCACTATGATTCAAACAAAAAATCTCTGAAACTGACATCACCAAGATGCTTACTGATTTGTTTTTATAACATATTAACTATGTTTTGAGCACGTGTTTTTCAACAGACAATCGGCATTCCTATGGAACCAACTGTATTGCCCTTCTGACCGACTTGTTACGAGGCAGATGCCAGACGTCGGGAAAAATGAAAAGAAGCAGGCATTAACAATTAACTTTACGTTCCCCTACATAGATTATGACATTTCACTGATTTATTCGAAAAATGGTGACAATATTGTTCGCAACTGAAAATAAAGTATACCACTGATACAAATAAGTCTACTTCATCTAGAATTGACAACGATGATAGTTTGAGAACTTAACTTTACGACAAATAAGTTGATTTCAATTTTCTAATAGTGAATTTTCCATTCGCGTGTAGCAACATTCAAGCAGCTTCGGCGGTGCGGATAACACCCTTTTTGTTTACGGCTAATATATTGGCTCTTAGCAAGTCATTCGGCATCTTCCCTTTGTTTACAGAAGTATATAGATGTAATATATGGTGCCAGTTCTTTGTACAGGATTTAGAACAATGTTAGGTATTCTGCTTGGTTCCATAGCCTTGGATGGAATTATGTTGTTTAGGAATTCCTCAATTCCAGGTACTGTAATGGTACGTTTTGTGATTTATGTTTTGGTTCTTATTGGTACTGGTTTCGTACTTGGTTCATAACAGTCTGGTCCTGTCAATATTGTATGTAATTGAGTGTTTATGACTTCAGTTTTCTCTTTGGAGTTATTTGTGAGGATGCCGATGATACCATACTCTCTTTCTAAATTCACTTCTGCATGTCTGTTTGTATTTTGCATATATTTTTTGTATTCTGTATATTTGTTTGTGCGCTTTGCATGTTTGTGGAGTCTTCCTTTCCTCTTGACCGTCCTCTTTAGTAACTTATTCAGTCATGGTAAATGTCGCTTCCTTTTATAGTTTGGTGGTACATTTTGATTTAAAAGAGGGAGAATATACAAAAGGGATACCAACACCATAATTCGAAATAATTGATTATGACCAAAAATAATAACAGAGGAAAAACTAACAACAGTCCACAACCACAACACAGAAAACTAAAGAATGAGCAACAAGAACACCACCAAAATCCCGGGATGAACAAGGTGAATTTTCCATTCGCGTGTAGCAACATTCAAGCAGCTCCTGCCAATCGAGTACATAGCCCCCAGTTGATACTACATACCGGGGCTTGCATTTCCTATCATGAAATCATGCTGCTCACAAGGAAGTTATTAAACCAATGGTTCCAAACGGTAAAGTTGAAGTCTATCTTACGAAAGTTTTACGGACGCAATTATATTTGGTTGACATTTATTGCATATCTGTGTTACATATGACCAAGGATATGTTCCGCTTATGTTCTTACGAAAAAAAATGATCGTAAGTCATAAATATTTCAGTAGAACTTATACTATCGATTTCAGTCGTAAGATTTGTGAACATAGCCCACATTTCACTGACATATATATTTTATGCTTAATCATGGAACATATAATATACAAAAATATCCTTCAGCATCTGAAACAAAACAATATATTAACAGACCTCGATCATGGCTTCCATTCAGGATATTTCTGTATCACTCAAATACTGTTAACAATTAGGTTACACGATGACCATTCTAGTATATAATATGACTATCCTATCGTTGATTACTCGAAGACCTCACAAGAAAGTACCAGTGAAACTCACTAGTCACGGGAGAACAGGGAACATTGATATTTAACTTTCAAACTTCCTGCATATTAACATCCAAACAGTGACCATGGTGATTTTTGTGTGACACAAGGAACTGTCCTTGGACCTTTACTGTTCATCTGCCATAAAAAGATCTTACGGAATCACAGGTCGTCCGACTATTTGCAGATGACTGACTGTTATTAAGACACATTAAATCAACGAAAGACCTCCAGAAATTCCAAGATGAGTTGCAATCTTAGAGATATGTGCAAACATGTGAAACATTCATTTTAATTCCAAGAAATGTTACATAATGAAAAAAATATTAAATTACGAAAAAATGAGACATTGAGTTTAATTCCAAGAAATGCTACATCATAAACATGAAGCAGCTTATGATTTAATCTTTTTAACCAAAGGGTAGGGAAGTTGATATTTTTTGCACCCATTTGTTCGGAATAACTTTTTGAAGTGAGATGTTGGGTCTTTGTATTGCTTTATTAATTTCAACTCATAGACCGTTGCTTAGTCAATATTCCAGTGTTTGAAAGTGATATTGTTTTATGTAAAATTACACCGCAAGCCGTCTTTTTAAACAAAACAAAATTCTGATTAACATATAATGTTTTGGGTATAACACATTTCAACAGCATGGTTGGAAAAAATCCTCTCTTATAAATTGGCCATAATCGAAGATAGAATAAGAAACTACATCTCATTAAACAACATGCACATTTTTGGGTTAATCGTTTTCAAAAACACACTTGCCAAAAACCTATGCCAGTGTTTTTTACATTTTATTTTCGAATATCATTATCAATGCTAATAATATAAGTTAAATAAATACATATATAATTTTTTATAAAGACTATGATGTCTACGTTCATATCAAATCGATGACATATTATGCAACTCTCAAGTTAACATTTTATTTAACGTAGTGTGTTCCGTATTAAGATAAGTCTTCCTACTTCTCTCTCATCATCTTGATAAATTCTGAAGATATAGGAAAAGAACTATTATGTCACAAAATACAAATATAAACGAGAAAATAGTTCACTAAAATTCTGTTGTGTAGCTGTCAAAACTACTTCTTATTTATGAAATCCTACAAACTCTTCCACATGAATTTTAATACTCCGGGATAATTATATTGCTTTTTGGTATTTTGGTATGTTTTCCACTCATTATGTTTTAATATCTTCCTGTGAATGGGCTAACGTGTTTCCCTTGTTAATGGTCTGGTGTTTGTGCCTGTATTTTCTTACGAGTTGTATATTTTTAATCACTTTTGTCATACTTGCTGCGTGTATTCCTTTTGTATTAAGCATGTACAATGTTCATCTTTATTTATTCATATTGTGTAGATAATAAACGAAGTATGAAAAGCAAGGTACTACATGAAACCTCTACCGAAGCTATTATTGGATGCTGTGGCCCTTCCGTTTAACTCCAACTAAAATAGAATTAATAAAACTAAAGAATCCTTCTTCCATGAATGATTTTAATACGTGGAAATTTTACTCTTAAAATCCAACCTTTTTTTCGTACTAGTTTCCCAGATCCTCAGCCTTATAATTTTTTCCGAAGTTATATTTCTAATCTGACACTCTTCTAACAATTTTTGTTTAAAGTCAATGTCATATTCAGTACTATGAAAAACCCGTTTGACTGTACCATTAGTATTACTTGCCTACCTGCCAGATCTATGTGTCCGTCTCCATCAGAATCAGCTTCCATTATCATTTCTTCTGCCTCTTCCTTGGATAAATTTTCTCCCATTGAATTCATAGCTGCTCTGAATTCATCAGATGAAATAATGCCGTTACCATCCGAATCGTACACATTAAACACATCTTTATAATCGTCATCGGTACATTGTTGTTTCATAGCATCTGACAAAAGTTCCAAGAATTCTTCATAATCTATCCCCTCATTTCCTGAAATTAAGTTTTACATTAGCACATGGTCTATTGTTAATACTGTATACAAGTATTTATTTAACTCATTTTGGTTTTTTTCTTTTCATTTTCTTCGTTTTTTGATGGATTATGTTTGTTGTTCCTTCTATCAGTTATTTTATGGCGATTAAAAACATTGGACGAAAACTAGCATCCATTAAGAAGAAAAATGTGTAAAAATGAATGAAGAACAAATTTATTTATCCGGTAATAGCTATTGATTTAACCTCCAAAGAAAACAAAACTATTTGAAAAAATATATAATAAATTCTGAACATAAACATACACAGTCAACAACACATGCTATATATCAATAAATGAGATCACATATTATACCCCTCTGATCTATCTCTTTGATTATATCCTGTAGTTCAGCTTCAGTTGGACTCTGATTAAAGGCCCTCATGAGTAAACCAAGATCCTTTGACGATAACTTTTTATCTTTTTTCTTGTTAAAATGTTTAAATAAATTCTGTATTTCTAAAACAAATATATAGATCTTTTAAATATGCGAAAACGCTGCGCTTTTCTTTATTTTGTATCTATCAATTTCTATTGCAATTCCCATAGGCAAAATTGATATTAGCCTGTTTGTGACTGTTCTATGATTTATAGGTATTGTAACCAAAACTTTTGGTTTTTGAGAATACTTGATGAATAATATTACCTAACTATGAGCCATGTTCAAAGAATTCGATGTCAAATATTATCATGAGCAAGTGAATTAAATTGAGTATAAATTTCACATTCAAAGTCACCAACAGCGAACACATAATTTCTATATCGTGCCTGAATAATCACGATCCTTTATGAGAGAATTGAACGATATAACGGTAAAAAATAGAAAAAAATATGCGCATTTGTCCGTAGTTGTCTCAAATACACGTACTTTGTTTGATTTTCCCTTTTGACTTCATGTATAATGCATTCTGTTAACATTTTGGATATAGTTTCTAAAACTGTTCGTAAAAACCGTTCTCATGGTCGTAGAAAAAATCGCAATCAAAGAAAATTTCGGACCAATCATACCAATATTTCGGACCTAATTTCTATTTCAAAAAACAACGGCAGACATTATCTGTTAACAAAGCTCTGTTCATTACCGGTTAATAAGTTAAATAAAATTTTTGAGGATTGCAGCACAATTTCATATAGCAGTCCTAAGTATGAAATCGTTCAAATTATAATGGCATATTGTTATTCTAAACTGTTTCCCAAAATTGATCGCCCTGAAGATCATAAAAAACAGTTTATTAAAATAAAGTATGTCAATAAAGGTTTTGATTTTGTAAATATTGGCGGTATTTTTAACGACCATTCTGTTAAAGAACAAATTCCGGGATATTTTGATAATACTGAGCTCCCTCTTATTTGTTATATTTACAAGAAATCTACCCGGAAATTTGTGTTTAATTATAGCCAATTGTGTAAAGATGTTAATATCAGTGAAAATACACCTACTTCATGTAATTGCAGTAATTCAGAATACATTTATGGACCCATTTCCCATGTTATAACAGGAGATCTTAACATCGTTCAAGACCGAGAGTTAAAATCATTCCTCAGTAAAGGACCTAAATATCGTCCCCCGTCAATTATTAATTGGAATGAGTGTCGTAATATCATCCACGACTCACTCCATACTTACTGTTTGAAATGGATAAAACGGGAAAAAGCTGACAAAAAAATCTTTGGACTCTTTTTTTTAATTCAGTAATGAACATAGTTGATATACGTATTCAACATTTTAAAGAGCATTTTACTCTTAACAATAACCACAATAAACCTATTTCTCGTATCAAACATAAACTAAAAGAACTAGCCAAGGAATTTGTTTTTGTCCCGGCCGATAAAGCTGCTAATAATATTATTATTGTTTGACGTAAATTTTACATTGAGGTTCTGAAAAAAGAAATCACCAATTCACCAACATTCCAACTGACTCCATTTTCAGAAAACGACATCTGTAACAAACATAAACTTTGAGCTACCGCTTTACATGCAGAACCAAATACAATGAAAGTCCCAACTATGTTTTGGCTTCTGAAGCTACACAAAACACCTTACAAATATAGATTCATTTCGTCTTCAAGCCATTGTTCCACTACTAAATTGTCTATTCTTCTTACCAGTACACTTGGTATAATCAAAAACCTGATAATAAATTGTTCAAATAAGGCCTTCGAAAATAGTGGAATTAATTACTTTTGGAGTGTCAAGAACTCGTTGGAAGTACTTGATAAATTACATGCATATATTGGTGATTTTGAATCTGTTCAAAGTTTTGATTTTTCTACCCTATATACCACATTGCCTCACATTCTCATTAAGAAAAAATTCACACACCTAATTAAATGGGCATTTAAAAAGTCAGAATGTGAATATATATGTTCAAACTCTTTTAGGTCATTTTTTAGTAGCAATAAACAAAAAAACTATGTCAATTGGACATGCTTTGATACTATATATGCCCTTGAATTTTTACTAGATAACATTTTTGTTCGCTTTGGAGATTCCGTATATCGTCAGGTTATCGGAATTCCAATGGGAACTAACTGTGCACCACTTATTGCGGACCTTTTTTTGTATTGCTATGAGTTACAATTTATGACAAAAATCAGCAAAGACCCATCGAAACAACATCTGATACACAAATTTAATAATACTTTTAGATATTTGGATGATATTTTGGCTCTCAATAATGACGACTTCAGCGTGTATACTAAAGAAATTTATCCTGTTGAACTTACTTTAAATTAAGCTAATACTAACAATGACCACTGCCCTTTCCTCGATCTTGATATCTATATCATTAACGGAAAGCTTAATACTAAAATATATGATAAAAGAGATGATTTTTCATTTCCTATCGTCAATTATCCATTTTTAGATGGTGACGTTCCCTTGTCACCATCTTACGGTGTTTATATATCTCAACTTGTACGATTCGCTCGTGTATGTAACAATGTTTTAGATTTTAACGAGAGAATTTATGTATTACTGAAAAATTATTACACCAGGGTTTTCGATATCACAAACTAGTCAAAACATTTACTAAATTTTATCATCGGTATAAGGACATCATTCGTAAATATAGCTCAACATGCAGACTTCTTATACGTTCAGGTATTTCACATCCAATTTTTTATGGAAATATTCTTTATAAAGCACAAAAATGTCAGTATTCACCTCTGAAGCTAACAAAACCTTTAAATAGACTTATTAAGAAGGGATATAGTTACGATACTGTTGTCAGGTCATTAAAGATTGCATATTTTGGCGTTAATATTGATTCACTTATAGGGTCTTTGCATCGGCACTAAACACATTTATTTAAAAACCAGTTGTTGGCATGACACGGGTTATGTTCTTCTCATATATGTTATGATGGTATGATACTAAACCCCTAACGGGAAGGATTGTGCCTGATATTCATATGATGAAGACATAATCTTTCAATCAGTTTAATTGAAGTCTGGAGCTGGCATGTCAGTTAACTGCTAGTAGTCTGTTGTTATTTATGTATTATTGTCATTTTGTTTATTTTCTTTGGTTACATCTTCTGACATCAGACTCGGACTTCTCTTGAACTGAATTTTAATGTGCGTATTGTTATGCGTTTACTTTTCTACATTGGCTAGAGGTATAGGGGGAGGGTTGAGATCTCATAAACATGTTTAACCCCGCCGCATTTTTGCGCCTGTCCCAAGTCAGGAGCCTCTAGCCTTTGTTAGTCTTGTATTATTTTTAATTTTAGTTTCTTGTGTACAATTTGGAGTTTAGTATGGCGTTCATTATCACTGAACTAGTATATATATTTGTTTAGGGGCCAGCTGAAGGACGCCTCCGGGTGCGGGAATTTCTCGCTGCATTGAAGACCTGTTGGTGACCTTCTGCTGTTGTCTGTTCTATGGTCGGGTTGTTGTCTCTTTGACACATTCCCCATTTCCATTCTCAATTTTATTATATGGCTTAAAATAAATGAGCAGGAAAAGTCGAATTATATCTCATTAGAATAAATACATATTTGTTTGAATATTGCCTTTTGGTATAGCTAATATACGACAAATTTAGACTTGTAAATAATATCAAATCCCAAATCTGGTATGAAAATTCGTATTGCCTATTTTTGGCGCCCTTTAATACCTCGTCGATACATTCGGTCTTGCTCCTTTCGGATTTCATGCTACTCCCTCGGTTTTTGTTTATTACCTTGATTTGTCTCTTTTTAATCGATTTACGAAATATGAACATCGGTACACTACTGCTGCCTTTATTTAGAGGCCGAAAACATTATTATAAACAAGAATAAAAATATAACGAATTTTGTCATTAAAACCCATATCAACCCAAAATTCGATATGAGTACATTTTTTTTTTATTACAAGTATATATCAGCTCATATTCTGGTCCGCACTGACTATGTGTAGTTCTTTCGGACCTTGTTTTCATCCCGATACATTTATAACTGACGAGAGACAATTTAGTCGAGGTCAAAAATATCAGTGACCGTGTCAACGAAGCTGTCTTAGGACTAGGACGTGTCTACGGATGGTCTTAGGACACGTCTTAGTCCTAAGTCAGATTAAAGAAAGTCTCCTAAGATAAGATATGTCCTAAATTTAGTCCTAAAGTTAGGATATATACATTAGGATAGTCCTAAAAGTTACAATGTCCTAAGTCGAAATAAAAACAACAAATATGGCCTAAATTGAACAATAAAAATACTAATACAAATATCAAATTTTTATACTGTTATTAGAATTAAACTTATTAAACAAAATATTCTTCAATATATGTTTTTTTCTAAAGATTCAATTGTGTTACTTTATTTAAAATTTGAAGAAAAATTTGATCCATACGATACTTTCAGATATCAACAAAGAGCGTTTATAGTATTCAATAGCTTTAGTTTTTGGAAAAATAAGCATATAACGAGTACTTTGTCTGGTTGTTCTAGAACTAACCTGATGCACATATCTAAAATTGCTTTTCTATATACAAAATCATCTGAAATGGGCATTCATCGCAGATCTCTAAAAAGTATGTTTGACAATTTCATATTATTACGCTCATTTAAAATAATCCGAGCTGCCCTTTTTTTGAAATTTAAAAATTCTATCAATGTAAGCAACATTTTTTTGCACCTGACCAAATGGTACAATAATAATTAAAAAATGGGAAAACATTTGAATTTCGGTTTCAGAAAAAGTTGGACTTCTTTTCTTACTATAGCTGATTATCAAATTATCAATTTCCCATTTCTCTGCAGTAACATACCCTCTGCTCCGTCGTATGGTGTGTACATATCTCAATTGGTACGTTATGCTCGTGCATGTTCACACTATACTGACTTCATATACAGGAGTATGCTCCTTACCTAGAAACTGCCCTAACAGAGTTATGAGGAGGTTAGATTAAAAATGACACTCCGTAAATTTTATGGACACCATCACGAATTGGTTGATCTATACGATGTGTCTGTGTCTAAACTAACTAATGACATTTTTACCACGTCTTAGATTGTGGTTTAACATCTATGTCGTCTGTCTGCTAAGTACCGAACGTGACCTATTCCCGAATATGACTGTTCTACCGAGAGTGAATTTACATTGTTATACGACGTGTCTCGGTATTTTGTACATCCAACATTCATGTATTTTTTCTGATGTTTCTGTTATGGTTTCGGTTGGATAATCTGTTATGTCTTATCGTTTGTAGTCCAAAAAATTATAAAATTGCCTTTCAATACCATCGTTGTCGTATTCCCGAATATGACTGTTATACTGAATGTGAATTTGCATTGCTGTGCGGCGTGTCTCGGTGTTTTGTACATCCAACATTAATGGATTTATTTTGATGTTTCTGTTATGGTTTCGGTTGGATTATCTGTTATGTCTTATCGTTTGTAGTCCAAATAATTGTAAAATAGCTTTTCCATACCATCATTGTCATGAAAATTGTTTGGACGAATATTGTGAAAATAATTGTATAAAGTTCGAGATTGCATGTTAGTTACGTGCGCGTCACTGTTTTTTATATCCTGTGGTGTTTTTCGTTGATGGAATATGTTCGTTGTTGTTCTGTGGTTTGCATGTTGTGTCGACTATTATATTATTTGTTTGTGCGTTTCTCTGTTATGAATGTTCTTGCGTGTGTTTGTGCTGTATTTCTGTCATATAGTGTTTTAGCGATATTTTTTAACATTGTCATAAAGCGGGAGGTTTAGCATGCCATGAAACCAGGTTCAACCCACCATTTTCTTAAAATGTCCTGTACCAAGTCAGGAATATGGCAGTGTTATCAAATAGTTCGTTTCTATGTGTGTTGGCGTTTGTTTTTGTTGCACTTCGGTGTTCCTTTTGTTCCTTTGTTTTCCTCTTATAGTTGATGTGTTTCCCTCGGTTTTGGTTTGTAACCCGGATTTGTTTTCTCTCAATCGATTTGTGACTTTTGAACACCGGTATACTACTGTTGCCTTTATTATTCAATACGTGTAATGAAATCGAGTGGACAACACTAGTTTATATAACTTAAATTGCAGCACGATAATAGCCTCTAACAAAGTTTTGTCAGCTAAGTTTTTGTTTGAAATTTATTTATCATTTTTAATAATACATAATAATGTATCTATTGGTATTACGTTAAAACTTCATTTTGCGTGAATTTTTTTTCATAAAAGATGCGACATCGCGCCCTTTACATATACACTGAAATTCATTAAAATGTATTTCATTTAATTCTCTTCATATCTTTATTAATAGAATAAAAGTGATAGGATGGTCCTAGGACCATCGTAGTTAGGACTGTCCTAAGATAGCTTTGTTTTACATCCCAAGACATGTCTCAGACACGCCTTAATACCATCCTAAATAATGTCCTAAGACATATCTTAGGACATATTTTAGGATACTGTCATTGACATGGTACCTGGGCTAATACAAAAAATAGCATGTTATAATCTATCCATATTAAATGTCAGTTTTACAAATTTTGTCCACCAGACTGAATTGTATCATTTGACCTTCATCGGTTCAGGGGGGGTATAAAGGACAAATGAAATGATGTTAACGTATGTATCGAATTCATATGGGACCAACTAAACATTTGAGTATGATAAAACATATTTATTATAATCAAACACTCACAACACCATGCTCAAGTTTGATTTTTACGTTACAATATTTAAACACTGTTTATTTTCTCAAAGCAGATTTGTTTAATTATATTGTGATTTTTTTTATCTTTTGTTGTATTGAAAATGTGTTAATACCAACCTTCCAACTGGTCTTCTGTAAAATCAGACGCCTGTTTGAAAAATAATATACATTACTATCGTGATTTATAATAACAATACTAAATATAAATATTAGCAGATTCCAGAGTATTGAAAAATGAGACATTAAAACCAAAAAACAAATATAGATATTGAGAAGAACTAATATATTCCTGACTTGTTAAATAAAATCGCACGCAAAAAAAATAAAACTTACCATTCTGTTATATCTTTATTCTTAAATGTTTTGAAACTCGACACCAACATTGACCTAATTACAATAATAATTTAGTGAAAAGAAGAATTCACCTACCATTCAAGGTTTTTAAAAGATTTTTAATTATTTTCTTAGTCCTCCATGTTATTGTAATACAGTTTACTATACCCCTATCACAATGTTTATTTGTTTGAGGAACAGTCATCGAATAAAAATTTCTATATATATTTTGTTATTTGATTTCTTTTATAATTCGGCTTTTGTTATTATATTGAAAAACAATAGACAGATACTTATTTAAAAGGATTATAGACAAGGAGTCATTCACTTACGTTTCTTTTTGTTTAAGATATTTCATCGACAATAAAATACCTTTTTATTTTTGTGAAGTCGTTTATCTTATAATGTGTTATAGTTAACTAGTCAAACATATTGAATTTACGCAAAGTAACATGGATAGGAGAAAATTAATCTTCCGAATTACTTAGCCGTATTTCGCACAACTTTTCGGAATTTATGGGGATTAATGCTCTTTAACTTCGTATTTGATTTGGCCTTACTATTGTTTTGATCTGAGCACCACCGAAGAGTCTTATGTCGAAAACACTCACGTCTGGTTGACGTAACTATAAGCTTGGTATCTTTGATGGGTATCTTTGATGAGTTTTTACAACCACTGGGTCGATGCAACTGCTGGTGAAAGTTCCATATCTGAAAGTATCACCAGTCCAGTAGTCGGTACTTTTGTGTTGACATGCAATATCATTGATATGTTCATTTTCTGTAAATTTACTGTTTACAGAATGTTGAATTATTCGAACCACTAAGGTTTTTTCTACATCTAGAACATAGATTGCCTAAGTCGTGTATTGGCACAAATTTTCGGATTTTTTTTTCAGTTTTTAATACTCTTTGACTTCGTATTTGATTTGGTTTTAACGTGAACTGTTTTGATTCGAGCGCCACTGATGAGTCTTATGTAGTCGAAACGCGCCTCTGGCATACCAATTCACAAGCCTGGTATCTTTTTATGACTTTTTACAATAGATTATATCAGTATGATGTTAATCTGAGCATGAAGTATTTCAAAATATATACCACTTTATGATATAATTCGAAAAGTGGAAAAGGTGAACAAATTAATCATGATATATATATTTGACTTGGTATAGATGATGTGATAATGCATTTTGCCTGCAGACAAAAGTGTCGTCAGTCATTAAAGACGCTCATTCATCCTATTCTAAAATTCTAAAATTAAATTATGTAAACAGAAGAGATCTGATAAATAATCTCTTGATTCTTATTTGAATAAAAATATGAATATTGTGGATACTCGAATATCGCATTTTGAAAATAGTTTAAGAAAGTCATAAAATGGTTTCCCATTCCAAACTAAAAGACAAATGAAAGAATTGGTCCTGATTTGTTTCATAAAACAGAATGGCCAACGTAATTACAAGTATCTTGTCTTAGGAAGTGATAAATCGTACTTTGTAAAAAAGATCACTTTGATTCAAACAAAAAATTCCCTGAAACATACATTATCTAAATGCTTGATTTCTTGATTGACAACATATTTGTTTCGTCTGGGGGACGTGTATTTCAACAAACAATCGATATTCCCATGAACAAACTGTGCTCATCTTCTTGTCGACTTGATCCTTATTCATTTGAGACTGGCTTCATACAGGAGCTTTTTAGGAAAAAAGAAAAGAAGCTAGCATTATCCTTTAACTTCAAGTTTCGCTATATAGATGATTTCCTCTCAATAAATAGTTCAAAGTTTGGGGACTATGTTGAACGCATCTATCCCATCGATCTTGAAATAAAGGATACAAGAGACACAGTTATGGCCTCATTTCGTAACTTACATCTAGAAATTGACAATGAGGGTTGGTTGAGGACAAAACTTTACAACAAAAGAATTCCCAATTGTGAACTTTAAAATTATTTTATATCAACGTTCCAGTAGCACCTGCATATGGAGTATACATCTGCCAGTTGATACGATTTTTCGGAGATTGCATTTCCTATCAAAACTTCCTTGAATTGGGATTGCTGCTTACAAGGAAGATTTTGAACCAAGAGTTTCGAGTGGTGAAGTTGTAATCATCCATTAGAAAATTTTACGGACGCCATAAGGAGTTGGTTGACCTTTTCGGAATATCTGTTTCATAGATAGCGACAATTCTGTCCTCTTTTTCTCCGAATGTGACCTAACGAACAGATTTATCACCGTTTTTTTTACACGAACAACACGATGAATGCCACATGTTAAGCAGGATATGCTTATCCTTCCAGAGCATCCGAGATCATTCCCGGTTTTTGGTGGGGTTCGTGTTGCCCAGTCTTTAGTTTTCAATGTTGTGTTTTGTATGCTCTGGTTTGTCTTTTGATCATTTTTCTTTTTTTGCCATGGCATTATCCGATTCAGTTTGTTTTCGACTAATGTATTATCCTATTGATATATTTTGCCTCTTTTTTTTACCGTTACCTTTATGAAATTGTTATGTTAAATAATCAAGAATACTCTAAATATAATGCCGAAATCTACCCAAGGGAGATTACGTTGAAAACAACTAATATAAACAGCAATAACTGTCTTTCCGAGATTTAAATATTTCAATTTCACACGGTTAGCTCTACACCAAAATGTACGATTTTTCGTACTCATACCTTACTTTTCCTTTTTTTCGAAGGTGATCCATGTAAATTTACTGATCCTTTGAATAGAATTATTCTTCAAGGATATCAGTTTAACACCCTAGTAAGATCTGTCAATTTTGTTTTTATCGGTACGAACATTTGATTCTGATAAATTCAAACTTCCTGTCGATACAATGTACCTTTATTTTGGCATTGCACAAGGTCATGTTTTCCCAAACTTTATATGACGTCTTACACTAAATCCGTTGAATGTGTACAGATTAATACTTTAGTCTAGGTAACATGATTTATTTATTAGTTGTTATTAGCTTTGGATTTGCTTTCAGTAACTGTGACTCTTAGATCGGTACTTTAGATCTATTGTCTTTATGTAAGATTGTGCTTCGTGTCACTCTGATGACTCAACACATTTCCAATTGGTGTTTTCGCTTAATTCTTATATTGTACTGTTGAACCACTGTATCGGGACATATGAGCACTCGCATACATGTTTAACCGTGCCACATTCTTCATGTGATTTTTCCATGCCAAAAGTCTGTAAATCAATTCGAATGACATGGATTAAAGCAACTATAAAACACCTTACGGCCTTCAACAATGAGCAAAACCCATACCGTATAGTCAGCTATAAAAAGCCCCCGACTTGTCAAATGTGAAACAATTCAAACGAGAAAAAAACCAACGGTCTGATTTATGACGAAACAATAAACGAACAAGCATGACACATAATGGGGCTGGATTAAAAATATTAGAATTTTGTCCTAATTGGCACAATGGTTTCTTATCAAACTTTAAGACAGGTCTTTGGGAATCTCATATCTGGTAGTATTCCCATTTATGGATGTAATACCCCTAATCGGGCTTTCAAGTACAGCGATATGAATTTAAATTCATAATTATAGCCGTCATGGAATTTATATTTTTTTATTGCAGCATTTTCTCCCTTTAAGACCACAGTTCATATAAATACTGAATAAAGTTCAGGCCTCCTAAAATATATTTCAGTCATGGTGTCTTATGGAGAATTTGTTTTTCATCATCATGTGCATCTTGACAACCAATATCCTGAAATCCATTATTGTTATTTACTGTAAAAATAGAGGCGGGAGATACCAAAGGGACAATCAAAATTCATAAGCCGAAGAGAAACTTACAAAAGTATGGCAAAAAAGGAAAAACGATGAAAAGTAAAAATCAGCCTATAAAACATTTAGCAATACACAGACAACCAAAGACGGAGCAATGTAAGTTATTACCTGATTATGGTTATAATACAAATAAAGAAGGGTAAAACCCATATATATGATTTTCTGTTATTCAGTGGTTGTCGTTTGTTGCTGTATATCATATTTGTTTTTCGTTCATTATTTTGTACATAAAGTAGTCCGTTTTTTTTTCTCGTTTGAATTGTTTTACATTTGTCATTTGGGGGCCTTTTATAGCTGACTTTGCGGTATGGGTTTTGCTCACTGTTGAAGACCGTACGATGACCGATAGCTGTTAACTTCTATGTCATTTGGTCTCTGGTAGAGAGTATTCTCATTGGCAATTATAACACATCTTCTTCTTTTTATGTGAGCATTAAATGATGATAAAAGATCACAAATTCATAGTTAAAAAAAAGAAAAACAAGATGTGTTTAAATTTGCAGTTTTTACACTTAACTTTAAGAACTTATAATAAACTAAATCCTTTTATTTTCATAACTTAGAATCTAGAAACTTTAAAGTTGTTGTGCGAAAACTAGAAACTTTTGTTTCTTGTTTTGAAGGACAAATGTGTACTTCCTTTTAATAAATAATAAATAAATGCTTGTCAAAGTCAAAACTGTTCACATCTTCAACATATATGTTTGTTGCTTTATCATTTTGATGTCACCGTCATCACAAACTCTGAAAATAAAATTGTATGTCATAATCTGTTTGATTTCTTGGTACAACTCTATGAATATTGAATACATATAAACAATATACAATCAGAGTATTTGATCTATCTAGATTTTGATGACTGATGTTTTGGTCACTTCTGTTGAAATAAGTTACAAGTTACCTGGTGCTGGTGTAGGTGCCTGCCTTTCTTTAAAGATCGGATATTGTTTTTTAGTGTTATTGGGACACTGTCACATCCTTTTTTTCCTCACACCTTTCTTATATCAATATTTGAAAATTGACTTATTCTTTAAAGTATCTTTGAATTCAAGTGCTTCTTTAGAAAGTCATTGTTATCTCACTATTATTAGCATTGGAACAGTGGATCAAGTTGTCAACTTAATGAAACAGATATAGCGTAATCCGAATATCAAATAACCTAAATAATGAAATTTAGAGATTTTTTAATAATTTTACAATTTTATCCAATTGATAGAACCTTACTTTTTTATTTACTGTTTATTTATTCTCGTCCTGAACATGCATGAACTATTTGCCACTGGATATTAAGAAAGCAACTTTCATTCAATCAAAACATAATGCTGTTACATTCTCAAAATACGCACAGATTGAAATCCCTTATTGTCAAATGA